CTGGGGGGAGGAGGAGCACAGAGACGCGCGTCCCAGGCAGGGGAATGCAAACTTGCCGTCCCCACTCACAAGGACCTTTGCCCCTCTGCTCACCCTGCTGGGAGAAGGAGCCAGGAACTGGGGGAGAGGAAGGGGAGGCCGAGGATGGAAAGGGAGGGGGACTGGCCAGCAGTGCCATGGGTGTGCTCTGGGGAAGGTTCCCAGCTTAGCAGGAGGAAGGGGCCCAGGACAGCACTGGGCCCCAAGGAGGGCAACACGACCACAGCTATGCTGCGTCAATAAGCCTGGTGATGTGATGACTGTCCCTTTGGGGCACCAGTCTTCCTTTGAGGTTTTTAAGGAAAGGCCCTTTTCAAAGATTCCAGCCCAGCTCAGTTGAATGACAGATACGTTGGGCTGAGAATCTGGGAGCATCTGCTCTGACTCTGCAGCCCGGGAGGTCTCTCTCCTCCTCACTGGTGAGCCCAGCCTGCTTCACCGTGGGTCTCCCAAGGGCTCAGGGCTGGGCACTGAGAACAAGCCTGAGGCTCTTCAGCAGCCAGATGTGACTTGTGCCCCATGTCCTAGCAGCTCTGTCAGCCCAGGGCACGAAAGCATTACAGGCTGCCCAGAGGAGCGCTCAGTGGATGGTAAATCGCGTGGCGATGGAGATTCAGCACACACTGAATGAGTGCCGAGGCTGTGCCGACCACACACCCCCATGCCCTGGTGAGCCTGCACCTACTAAGCTCAGGCGGTTCTCCTGCCCAGCCTCCCCTCAGCCTTCAGACTTGACTCCCTCTTGGGGACAGAGACTATGGATCTGCAGCCAAGACAACACTCATGAAGGTCTCTCCAAGTGGAAAGGGCCCGCCAGGCTAGGGGCACAGCATGTGCAAAGGCATGTGGGAGGGCAGGAACGGTCTGGGCTCACTGGTGAACGGGGAGAAGTTTGTGGCTGCCAGAGCAGGCCCTGGCTGCCTCCATGAGGGGCTGGGGGCAGCGGCGGCGGGGTAGAAGGCACAGGGGTAGGAGATGATAGCGCAGAAACAGGGCTCAGGCCCAGCTTCGAGTAGGGGAAACGGGAGAGGGTGGCAGTAGGGCACAAAGGTCTGTTTCTCAGCAGGACCTGGGCGTCCCAAGCCTCAAGCCCCCCTCCAGGATCCATCTGAGCCAGGTGAGGCTGAAAGGCGGAAGGGGGCGGGGCTGAAAGCAGGGTGGATCCTGGAGGGGTGTCGATGGTGAGGATGGCCAGGACTTGTCCCTTGTGACTCAGATTCCCCTTTTCTGGGGCCGTGTGGTGAGAGACGCCCCGACACAGTCAACGTGACGCGGGCCCATGGCCGCATCGTGGGGGGCAGCCCCGCACCGCTGGGCGCGTGGCCCTGGCTGGTGAGGCTGCAACTCGGCGGGCAGCCTTTGTGTGGCGGCGTCCTGGTGGCAGCGTCCTGGGTTCTCACCGCGGCGCACTGCTTCGCAGGGTATGTCGGCCCAGGACCGGCCCGCCCATCCGCAACGCGGGGTCCAACTTTTCCCGGGTGGTTGGGAGGACGACCCGCGCGAGGCCGGTCTCTGCTGCCCCCTGGCGGCGACTGCCGCCCTCCCGGGCTCCCTGGCCTCAGGCTGCCCACGGAGGGCCTGTCTACCCTGTCTGCATTCGGCCCACTCGGAGCAGTGGCTTCTCCACGGCCCGCCCTCCCGGCCCCCAGGAAGAAACAGCCCGGCGTGCTGTCTCGCTGGGTGGTGCCCGTAGGCGGAGGGCAGAGTTTCCAAAAGACCTCGCTGCATCCTTGCCTTGCCTATCATTGGCTGCTCGCCCTGCAGCGCCCAGAACGAGCTTCTGTGGACGGTGACACTGGCCGAGGGGCCCCAGGGGAAGCAAGCGGAGGAGGTGCCAGTGAACCGCATCTTGCCTCATCCCAAAGTAAGAGGACAGCCCCCAGGCCCTCAGAGTTGGGAGCAGCATCCCCACCCTAAGCCTGACACTGCGCGCCACCCTCTTCCCAGTTTGACCCCCGGACCTTCCACAACGACCTGGCCCTGGTGCAGCTGTGGACGCCGGTGAAGCCGACAGGGGCAGCACGCCCCGTGTGTCTGCCCCAGGGGCCCCGGGAGCCCCCGGCAGGCACCGCCTGCTCCATTGCGGGCTGGGGGGCCCTCTTCGAAGGTATGGGGCAGGGCGTAGGGGGTGAGCGCCCCTGGAACGGGAAGTACCGGGAGGGGCTGGGGTGAGGAAGGTCGAAGGGCTGGGTGTAAACAATCCGGCCTAGGCCCAGCTGCGGTAGTAAAATGCCGACCCATCTTGAGCAGGGAGAGGAGTCAAAGAGGAGTGGGAAGGCGGACCCTGCCCTCAGGCCTGAGAGCCCCCCCACTGCTCTCCTGTAGACGGGCCTGAGGCTGAGGTGGTGAGGGAGGCCCGCGTGCCCCTGCTCAGCACCGACACCTGCAGAAGGGCCCTGGGCCCTGGGCTGCACCCCAGCAGTATGCTCTGTGCCGGCTACCTGGCTGGGGGCATCGACTCATGCCAGGTATGAGCCTCAGTTGATCGGCGAGCGTTGGATGGGCCGCTTTCCAGGGACAGGACAGTCTCTTTCCTCCTACAGTCAGGTTGTCACTCAACTTCTCGAAGCCTCTATGTCCTCACTGCTAAAATGGGGATGAGTGGTAGCCCCAGGAGAGCTCTGAGCTGCCCTACCCTGCCAGGTGTAAGGCCCGCACGGGAGGGGAAAGGTCACTGCAGTGCCCTTTTTTTTTGGCTCGGGTCCCCGCAGGGTGACTCTGGAGGCCCCCTGACCTGTTCTGAGCCGGGCCCCCGCCCCAGGGAGGTCCTGTACGGCGTCACCTCCTGGGGGGACGGATGCGGGGAACCAGGGAAGCCCGGGGTCTACACCCGTGTGGCCGTGTTCAAGGACTGGCTCCAGGAGCAGATGAGCGGTGAGCCTACGGTTCCTATTTCCTCCAACACCCCCAGCCTAGAGTGTCTCGCTAACAGCCAGGGGACGAACCCGTCTCCAGCCGGCCCAACCCTAGCCCCCTACTGTGTCAGTAAAACCAGTCTCCCCCGGGGCAGAAAGGTGGGAGCCAGAGCTCAGAGCAGGGACTAAGTTGGCCCCTGCCGTTCCCCGCAGCGGCCCCCTCCAGCCGCGAGCCCAGCTGCAGGGAGCTTCTGGCCTGGGACCCGCCGGAGGAGCTGCTGGCCGATGCCACCCCGCCCTGTGCCTTCTACGTCCGCCTGTGCCCGAGGCCCATGGGACCCTGTGAGCGCTTGGCGCACCAGCAGTGCCAGCAGCGCCGGCGGCGATGCCGTCAGTCCTGTTAGGGTGCCGGGCCGGGGGTGGGGTGGGCCGGGGTTCTGACCCACATCTGACCGCCGCTCCGACCCTGTCCTACCGCAGAGCTGCGCTCTCTGGCTCACACCCTGCTGGGCCTGCTGCGGGGCGCCCAGGAGCTGCTCGGCCGGAGTCCTGGGATGCGACGCCTGGCCCCGGTCCTGGCTGGCCCCGCTGCGTCGCTCCGGGAGCCTCCCAGGCACCCCGCCCGCGAGCAGGGTCTACACGCAGGTACCGGCGCCCTCGCAGCCCAGCCCCAGCCCCATCCCTGCGCGGCGGAGGCTGTTTCCTAACTCTGCATCTCCCCGCTATCGTGGGCGGCAGGCGCGCGGGTAGCGAAACGGGGGCCAGAGCAGCGCCGGGAAGCCAATGATAATGACGCCCTCTGGCGGCCGAGTAGGCCAAGGGCTGGCAGAGGCCCGAAGGGTATTCTCAGGGGTCTGCCTAGGAAAGCAGTCACCCCGTGGGGCAACCGGCCACTCGCTCTCCCTCCACCCGCAGTGGGGCGGATGACTCTGGGGGTTGACTTGTGGCTTTGGGCCCTCCCAGTGTCAACAGAGATACTGGGCTCTGTTATTCCTTAATCTCTCTGAGCCTCAGTTTCCCCATCTATAGCATGAGGAGAAATCTGCCCACAGGGAGTTGAGGTATTGACTCCATGCTGGTGTCAGTTTTCTGTATTTCTAGGGCCTCTCCCTTTCCTGCAGGCTGTCCTGAGCTGAAACCCCTGCAGCAGAAGTTGGCCACCCTTCAGGGCACCCATGCCTGGATCCTGCAAGTCCCCTCAGAACGTCTGGCCGTGGACTTTCAGGAGGTAGGTCCCAAGCTTCCCAGATTCCTTCACAGTTACCTCACAAAGCTGACCTGGTCAGCCCTGGTGGGTAGGGGGATGCAAGGGGTACCCTCCCCAGCAGGAGGGAGGACCTCTCCCCCAGCAGCTTGGGGTGGAGGTGATGGTGGGGATCCGAAGAGTGGGGGCTGGGGCACTGAGTGGGTGTGAAGGTATAGGGGGAAGGGGAGGTGCAAGGGGAGGGGTTGTGGGGGTATCCAAGTACGCAGGAAGTGTGCAGGGTTGCTGGGGGTAAAGAAGGGGAGGGGGACCTGGGTGAGAGTTTCTGGGGGCCAAGAGGAGGGAAACAGGAATGGGGCTGTGGGCCCCTGAGCCCCCTCCTCCCTCTGCAGGTCCTGGCAGAGCTGGGCTCCAAGACGCTGACCGGGCTCTTCCGAGCCTGGGTGTGGGCATGTCTGGGGGGCCGGCGTGTGGTCTTCAGCGGCCTGGTGGGCCTGGAGCCCGCCACACTGTCCCGCAGTCTCCCCCGGTTGCTGGTGCAGGCCCTGCAGGCCTTCCGCTCTGCTGCTCTGGGTGAGGCAGAGACTAAGGGACCCCAGATGGGTGCAAGGCAGAGCCGGGAGCTGGGAAGGAAAGGGCACCATCCACTCAGCCCTCAGCTTCCCCCTGCCAGGCAGCCGTAGGCCATGTCTGGGCCTCCAGCCCCCAGTCAGGACCTACTGCTCCCAGGGGCTTGGAGGCTTCAGGAGTCCTAATGACCAACTGTCAGTGCCACAGTCAGCTGGGGGGTGGGGGTGGGGTTCTGGGCCCTGCGTGTCTTCCAGACGCGCCATCAGAAAATCACAGCTGCTTTAATAAATATTATTTATGATCTACACAGACAACTCTGGAGCTTTCTTGGTATGGGAACCAGGTGGGTGGACATTAGATCTCTGGGGGTGTGGCCCAGGCAAGCCCAGCTTCCAGAAGCAGTTGGCAGAGGTTACTGGAGAGGGGCTGCAAAACCCCCCATCTCAGACACCTGTCTGCTTCCCAAGAAATGGCAGCAGCTGGCCTGCCTGTCTCCACTCCTCTGGGGTGGTACGTTACCACCAGTGCTGCCCCACTGCTCTTCTGAAGAGTCCCAGCCTGGCATCTTTGTCTTGTGTCCTTGGACTCTTTCCCTGCTGGCCAGTCCCTGTCCCCACCCCCTTGCCACCTGCTCTGGGTTCTCTATCCTGAAGCAGGGGCTAGAGGTGTCAGATTGCGTTTCCGGCTGCCTCTTCCCTTCACCACCCACCCCCACCCTGCACCTGTCCCCTCTCCCACCCACATTCCCCAACCCTGCAGACAAGAGGGGCAGATGCAAGACGCAGTCGGAGGGAAGGATGGAGGGGCCTGGGTTGACGTTGGGGCTGCTGGCCGCCCTGGTCGTGTGCGGTAAGAATGGACATCACCCCGCCCTGAGGAGGCCCTCAGGATGCCACCGAGTCTCCATTGCATGGTGCCTTCCTGCCCCTCCTAGCATCAGACCCAGCTCCGCATGCCCACCACCATTTCTCCCCAGAGGGGCTGACCACCAGGACCCTGCTCCTGGAGAGGGTTGGATTCCCCTGCTTAGGCCAGTCACAGGGCCCCGCAGGACCCCAGGGCAGCTTCCTTCCTGGGCCTCCTCCCAGCATCTGTCCTGTCCCTGTCCTTCCCCAGGCAGCTGGGGCCTGAATGAGGAGGAGCGGCTGATCCGGCACCTGTTTGAGGAGAAGGGCTACAACAAGGAGATCCGGCCTGCAGCGCACAGAGAGGACAGCGTGGAGGTCTCGCTGGCCCTCACGCTCTCCAATCTCATCTCCCTGGTGAGGGGCCCCTCCGTGGGGGTGCTGGGGAAGGGAGGGCAGGGACAGTGTCCTGGAAGCCTGGTTGTCTTGCAGACTAGGATGGCCATGGAGGAAGTTCAAGGCTTCCAAACAGCCCACGGTGGCTCTTCCTGCCAGGAAACGTGCTCCAGCCATTCTCCATGCCCTGCACCCCCACTCCCTCCAGCTTCGGCTCCGGGTGCCCCATTATCACACCCATGACACACGTCAGAGGTCGTGTGCCCTCCCTGCTCCGTGGTCTGCCCACCCAGTCCTGACTGTGCAGGCTTGGGGCAGGAGTCTGGTCGGGCCAGTTGCCAGGGTTTCCCCTGGGCGGCACCTGGCAGTAGGTGCCTGGTGAATGTGTGCAGATGAAAGAACGTGGCAGGCCCCTGGGGGACAGCCTTCCTGTTTGATTACAGAAAGAAGTTGAGGAGACCCTCACCACTAACGTGTGGATTGAGCATGTAAGTAGAACACCCCAGTGGGAGCAAGGGGATGAGGGTGCAGGGCCCAGGCTCCCTGTGCTTGGAGATTTCCAGCCTATCCCAGACACTGTCTTCCAGGCCTCTGCTCTGTCCTGCCTACAGAGAAACTCAGGTCCACCACCTTTGTGTGGATTAGGATTCTTCATCTCTGGGAAAACTGTCACAGTATCCTGATTTTATTAGAAAACACTCTTCCGCCACCTGTCAGAAGGTCATAATACAGACCATGAGTTTTCTATGTCCACAGTGGAAATATGCTCCCTTAGTTGTGCAGTGTGCATCCTGCACAGATGTACGTGACAGTTCTGAGTCCCCACTCTGTGTGCGCATCCCCCAGACCTCCTTGGTTACAGTTCCTTGGCCCTGTCCAATCTTCTGCCAGGGAACTGGGGGCGTGGGGAAGCCTGAACAACAGCAGAGCCCACTGCTGACACACCCGGGCTTCCAGGTCTGGATAGACAGCCGGCTGCAGTGGGATACCGAAGACTTTGGGAACATCACCGTCCTGCGCCTGCCTCCGGACATGCTGTGGCTCCCAGAAATTGTGCTGGAGAACAAGTTGAGTCACAGTCCTTGGCCTCCCCTCCCTTCTCTGCCTCCTCCTCCCTGCCAGTTCCAAGCTGGCTGATGCTCACTGTGGCCCTTGTCCCTGTCCCCCAGCAATGATGGCTCCTTCCAGATCTCCTATGCCTGCAACGTGCTCCTCTCTCCCTCGGGCTCTGTGTACTGGCTGCCGCCTGCCATCTTCCGCTCCTCTTGTCCCATCTCCGTCACCTACTTCCCCTTTGACTGGCAGAACTGCTCTCTCAAGTTCAGGTACGCCCACTTCTCCAGCCACCCCTCACCCCAGGGCACCCTGCCGGGGCCGAGGAAGGTAAATGAAGCACCCTTTGCAGAAGCCCCTGCCCTGCCCTAAGTAGAGTGCCCTCCCCAACAGTGGCCCCTCCACCAGGAACCTCCTGCACTAGCCCTTCCCCTCACGGCGTCCCCAGCCTGTGGCTGAGGACCACCCTCTGCCCACTGCCCCCCTAGTTCGCTCAAGTACACAGCCAAGGAGATCACCCTGAGCTTGAAGCAGGATGAAGAAGGGGGCCGCCTCTACCCAGTGGAGTGGATCATCATCGACCCCGAGGGCTTCACAGGTGCCCGGAACAGCAGCTGTTGGCTGGGCAGGCCCCTCAGACACATCTCCATGGTACAGTGGCACTGACAGCTGGGACACAGACACACAGGTACACGGACATGCAGAGCGACAGACAGGACACACACAGACTCTCATATTCACTGACACGAATCCAGCACACTGGAAGGCAGAGAAGTACGACAGGGGGCAGGGACTGTGTCTCCAAGGCAGAGACAGAGGGGTGCCAGTGCCCCGTTCCCACCCCACCCCAAGCCAGAGACCCTTCTGGGTCTGAGCAGGCTCCCTGGGGGTGGACGTGGCTGACAGATGGATGTGAAAAGTGTGGCTCATCTTTCTGTCCCTGGAGAGCCCAGGGGTGCAGTTGGAACTTTGGCCATCACCCCAAATGTGTCACTCCCATCCTTTATGTGTGGCCAGGCTCAGCTCTTTCATGGGGCCCCCACCACAGGCCCCTGTCCTTCAGAGGAGACCACAGCCCGCTGGTCCCAAGGCTGGTACCTCGCATGGGCGTGGGCATGGGGTTCTTATTCTCTCTCGCTTTCTTACCCAAGACTTCTTATTCAAACCAATATATAGCCTCAGATTCTATTTTTTCCAAGGAGAAAAAAAGATCAATCCCAGAGGAAAATTTCTCCCTTGCAGACTGAAACCTCCACCCCAACACCCAGGGAAAGACACCTACACACAGAACCCTTCTCTGGGCCCTGCAGGCAGGCCTGGCTGTGCTTCTGGGCCAGCTCACTCCACCCAGCCCCTCATCCCATCCCCAAGGCCCCCCAAGGCCTCCGCAGACCAGACCCCAAGATGTCCATGTGCTGCCCTCAGAGAACGGGGAGTGGGAGATAATGCATCGGCCGGCCAGGATCAACGTGGACCCCAGTGCCCCGCTGGACAGTCGCAACCGCCAGGATGTCACCTTCTACCTCATCATCCGCCGCAAGCCGCTCTTCTACGTCATCAACATCCTGGTGCCCTGTGTGCTCATCTCCTTCATGATCAACCTGGTCTTCTACCTGCCAGCCGACAGTGAGCCTCAGCGCCAGTCCCCAGCTCCCAGCCCGCCTGGGGCAGCCTCTCCCTGTCCGTGAGAACACAGAGCACCCGCTGCCTCGGCCCTGCCCCTCACTTCCTTCTAGGAGCCACAGGGGACTCACCACTCCTGGGGCTCCCTGCCCAGGGCCCGGGCACGTGGAGCACAAGGGGAGCCGTGGGGAGGGCTCATGACCTTGTCCAGCATCCCCAAATGGACAGGGTCCCTGGGGCGTTCTCTTTCTCTTGGACCCTACTTGGCCTCTCACAGTGGGCTTCCCGAAGACCCTAGGGAGATTCACCAGACTGTCCCTCTGTCAGGGCAAAGGTCAGGTCTGTGTGGTCACCATGTGTGACTGGGGGGACACACCAGAGGCCATCAACCATGACCCACTGGGTAGAGAATGGGATCTCTAGAAGCCAAGGCGTGGGGTATATAATGCACTCACCTGGTTGTAGAAGGGCATGTATAGTCTGTTCTCACTTGCCTCCAGAATAGTGTCAGAATGTTTACTATGAGCAGTGCACCATGAGTTCCAGAGATGCACGCAGCCCAGGCCCTGCCCCTGGCAGAGCGGGTAGGCGCTGTAGGACTCGGAGCGTGCCTGAGGGGTGGCAGGATGGGAATGGTTTCCTGCAGGAGGCAGTGCTTGAGCTGGAGACAGGTTGGGAGGAACCGTGCAGATCCAGGGGGTGTGGCCCTGAGATCACGGCGGTCACTGCCCAGTGTGCTCAGGAGCTCAGCGGGGAAGAGCAGGGCAGTGCTGGGCGGGGATCCCTGAGTGAAGGGATGGGAACTGGGGTATTATCCTGGTGCTAGGGGGGTACCCCGGGAAAGCTGTGCGGGGGGAGGGACACACACAGGTCTGTGACTGTAAGAGGGCTGAATTGCAGGGGTCTGGCTAACATGTAGCTGGGATTCTCATGACACTGGTGTCAGGCAGAGTGATGAACGAGCATTTAACACACACTCTCTCACTTCGTCCTCACCATATTTAGAAGTTGAGAAAACTGAGGCATGGAGAGGTTATGCTACTTGCCCAAGGTAACCCAGCTGGTAAATGGCAGAGCCAGATTACCACCCAAGTGCTCTGATTCCAAAGCCCATGATATTAATCAGGACACCATAGCATTGCCAACAGTGGAGCAGGGGCCACGGCGGGACCTCCTGGTTCCAAGGCCAGAGGTCGCAGCTAAGTCCAGGCTCCCCCAGGCGGCGAGAAGACGTCAATGGCCATCGCAGTGCTCTTGGCCCAGTCTGTCTTCCTGCTGCTCATCTCCAAGCGGCTGCCCCCCACATCCATGGCCATCCCCCTCATTGGCAAGTGAGTGCTGGCCCACCCCACCACAACCCCCCAACACATGCCACCCTCCGTGCCCCTGCCATGCCACTCCCTGGGGGCTCTAGGCTGAGTGTGTGCCCGCAGGTTCCTGCTCTTCGGCATGGTGCTGGTGACCGTGGTCGTGGTGGTCTGCGTCATCGTGCTCAACATCCACTTTCGCACACCCAGCACCCACGTGCTGTCCGAAGGGGTCAAGAAGGTGAGGGTTCTCAACAGGCAAGACCTGGAACTTGTCCAGATGCCCCTGCACAGGAGAACGGGGAGCCACCCTGTTGTGCCAAAGCGCCAGCAGCTGCTACCCACGCCTGCAAGGATGACTCCCAGGAGTAGTGATACATGAAAGATGCCAGACACAGGAGAGCACAGACTGCGCACCTTCCTTCCTATGAAGTTCAAGGAAGGGCAAAGCCAGTCTTTAGTGAGAGACGTCAGCATTGGGGTTACCTCCCAGGATGGGTAGGAACCGATGGGGGGCAGGGGAGGTATGACTGAACTCCTTTGGCATCATGTTGGATATCTTATCTGGGTGGTGTTCACGCAGTTGAACGCATCTGTAAAGGTTTGTCTTGCGATGTTCTTAAGGTTTGCTCATTCTACTGTATGTTTGCTTTACTGCCACTAAAAAGAAGTGAGGAATGTAGGGTGAGGGTATCTGGGAGAGGGCTGTCCTTGCCTCTCGGCCACTGCAGGGCTACCTGGCTGTTCTGGAGCAGCTAACGGTAGTTAGCAACTTTTTTGACTTTTAAGCATTTGAAGTACAGAGCTAAACTTTTAGGGCATTTTTCTTTTTTGTTTTCATGTATAATTCATTTTCAACAAAGGAGTAGTGCTCTGTGCTGTGAGCAATAGGGAGAGTTGAAAGCACCCGCAGTGTAGGGGATCAGGGGACTAAATGACAGTGTCAGACAGGGGAGCACTTTGTGGCTGCCAGGAATGGAGTCACAGATGTTTGCATGTGTGAAGGTGACCCGTGTTTGTAAAATGGCCTTCCTGTGTCCCCAACATGCCGCAGCTCTTCCTGGAGACCCTGCCCGAGTTCTTACATATGTCTCGCCCAGCGGAGGATGGGCCAAACCCTGGGGCCCTGGTTAGGAGGAGCAGCTCCCTGGGCTATATCTCCAAGGCTGAAGAGTACTTCTCACTCAAGTCCCGAAGTGACCTCATGTTCGAGAAGCAGTCAGAGCGGCACGGGCTAGCCCAGCGCCTCACCACTGCACGTGGGTCCCTGGTGGCCTGGGATTTGGCTCATGCATGGGAAGTGTGGTGTGGGCAGGCCTCATGCTCATCTCTGGCCTGGCATCCATAGGTCGGCCCCCAGCAGGCTCTGAGCAGGCCCAGCAGGACCTCTTCAGCCAACTGAAGCCAGCTGTGGATGGGGCCAACTTTATCGTCAACCACATGAGAGACCAGAATAATTACAACGATGTAAGTAGCCACAGGGTTGCCATGTATAGGTGTTCAAGTAGTGCACTGATCAAGTGGACAGAGTTCCCATCAGAGACACATGCCAACTTAGATGAAGAAGGTCATAATGGGTACAGATTCCAGGCCCCCCCAGCGAGGGAGAGCCCTGCCTAGAACCCCATAGCAGCACATGGCAGGCACATAGCTCTGCCCTGTTAGGGCCACATTGTCGACGTCCTTATTATCTCTTCTTTCTCCCAGCTGCCAATCGTTTTCTGTCCACATTCAACTCCAAGTCTGATACTCCAGACACACCCAGACATTTAAAAGGCAGCCTTATATGGTTGTTTAATATTATACAACTTTAAAAATCCTCTCTGGAGAAAGGGGTACCTTTCTGCAGTCTGCATATGGGTGAGCAGCTGCCCTGAGTGGCGGAGACAGGTGAGGAGGGTGGAGAGGGGCCTGTCCATCTTTCACTGTCCCTGAGAGTCCTGGTGGTCCCAGCTCCTCCCCAGCTCCTGGGGCCCTGCAGTGGCATGAGGAGGGAGGCTGTGGCCCTGCTCTCTCTCTCCTGAATGGACAAAATGACCAGCCCTGCCTGTGGCTGGAGGGGGGCTGGGCCCTTGCTGAGGATGAGCTGGCTTGTCCCATCTACTGCAAGCCTGAGGTGGCCCCCGAAGATGCACCGAAGCCATGCTTCTGTCCCCGGGCCCCAGCTTGGAGCATGGGTCTGTGGTTTGAGGCCTTCCTCTATCCACTCTGTCCATCCCCCTTCCCCAGGAGAAGGAGTGCTGGAACCAGGTGGCCCGCACAGTGGACCGACTCTGCCTGTTTGTGGTGACGCCCATCATGGTGGTGGGCACAGCCTGGATCTTCCTGCAGGGCGCCTACAACCAGCCTCCACCCCAGCCTTTCCCTGGGGACCCCTTCTCCTACCAGGAGCAAGATAAGCGTTTCATCTAGACTGAGCCTGCCCTCCCCGGCCTGGCCCGGCTCCCAGGGCAGCTTCTGGAGGCTTGAGCCCAGGGGGTCTTGCAAGCCTGGGGAGAGACGAACTGGGCTTCACTGAAAGCCTGGGAGAAGCCCACTCGTCCACAGTGGTTCCTCTGCAAATAAAAGCAGGACCCACCAACTAGGTTGAGAACGGACATCTCAGGGGGTGGGGCAGGATGACCCGGGGCAATGCAGGAGCTCAGGGGCCAGAGAGGATGCCACTCAGGCTGGCCTTTTGTGGGTCAGGAAGCAAGAGTCCTCTCCTTGCCTGCCCCCGCCCCCAGGTGGGCGTAGAGCAAGTAGGATCCTGTGCCTTTATTTCCAGCCCCTCCCACCAAGCCCTTAGCCTCAGCTCAGGCTTCTGAGGTCCCCCCTGGAACCGAGGCTGGGGATGCTCCTTAAGGAAGGAGGCTCCTTAGGGAAGGAAGATTTGGGCCAAGGTGGAAGCCACAGGGTTGGAGAATGGCCTTCCCCAGCCCTTTCTGCTTTGGCCACTCTGTCTGGGTCTGTCAGGGAAACTGAGGTTTGGGGTGGAAGGGTCAGGCTCAGCATCCACAAAGCCAGGGGTCAGTCTGTCACCCTCAGGTCACATGATCCTAGAGCCCAGAACTTAGGCCTTCCCCAGGAGTATCCCCTGGGCACCTACTCTCCTTCCCAAAGTAGGCTTTCCATGCAATGTTTGGGACATAGTTATACAAAAAATTATTCTGTGTTTATCTGAAGTTTGAATTTAACTGGATATTCCGCATTTTTATTTTCTAAATTTGGCAACTCTACCCCAAAGGGAGCTCCTACCAGTCTTATCCTAAGGACTAAAGGCTGAGGCCATAGGAGCTGGGAGCCACGGCAGCCCACCCCATCCCCCAAAGATGGCCCCAGTGATCCCCGCCTCCCGGCACTGACACCCGTGTCGTCCCCTCCCACACTGCACCAGGTGGGTCAGTGTCATCGGTAGGAGGCAGAAGTGATGGAGTGTCGCTTCTGAGGCTGTTACAAAAGACACTGCAGCCCTTCCCTCATTCCCTCTCTCGGTGGGACCCCTCACTCAGGGAGGTCAGGGGACATGACGAGCAGCCCTACAGGGAGGCCCACAGAGCGAGGAACTGAGGCCTCCTGCCCACAGCGACATGAGTGACCCTGCAAGTGGATCCTCCAGCCCCACCGGGGCCTTCAGATGAGATCACAACTCTGGTCAATATCTTGTCTGCAGCCCCATGAAGTCGCTGAGGCAGCACCACCCAGCTCAGGCACTCCTGCATTCCTGACCCTCAGGAAATGTGTGAGATCATTAATGCTTGTTGTTTTAAGAGACAAAGTTTGGGGACACTAGCAATGGAACCTTGGGTGAGCCACTCCTCATCTCGCAGCTTCATTTTTTTTATTTGCCAAATGTGTCTATACTAAGTCCAGCTCATGGGGTGTTATGAAAATTGAATTTTCTAGTAAGTGCAAGGTACTTAACTGTGTCCTACAAATTTAAGGGGTGGTTATGTAACTCATTCCTCATTTGTGAGCCTGAGTCGCAGAGGACAGGCCTGCAACGGTCTCCCGCATCCAAGCCTGACTGTTGACAGAGAGGATTGAAGCAGGTGCAGAATTCTTGATGTACAGGCTTCATCTTCAGAGCTCAACCCACTTCCCTCAGAAGGAATCAGTGACCTCATTAGCTCAGTTACCCTTTGGCTTCACAGGAAGCTGGCCCCTGCGGGTGTGACTTCTTGGAGAGGGAGGAGAGAGTTCCACGGAGGGCCTGAATCGGACCCCTCAGCCTCTGTCATTGCTTCTCTCTGCCACACGGTGGTGCCCTGTTGGCAGTAGGTCCCATATAGTCCAGCTGCCAGGAGAATCCGTTGGGTCAGGGCCTGCTCAGGTGGCTGTGGATCTTCCAGAGAAGGCAACACAGAATGCCACACCCGAATGAGTGTGCCTCTTGTGCAGGTTCCCAGGGTCACAGAGGGTCGGCAGCAGCACCAGTCCTCCAGCACTCCAGCCCCAGGGCACTGTCAGGACTGGCCCACTCTCTGGGCGACATGGAACTCTGTCTCCTTCCTCTCCAAGAAGTCACACCTGCTGGGTCCAGCTTCCTGGGAGGCCAAAGGGGAACTAATCTCCCCAGGCCCGCAGGGCTACCTACCCTCTTTCAAAGGCAATAAGTCTATTAGGAGTGCACTGAGCTGCAAGGAACAGAAAACCCAGAGAACCAAGGTTTAAACAAATAAGGTTCCCTCTTCCTCACATCATAAGAACCGCAAAGTAGTGACTGCCACACTGGCTCAGCTGTCCCACAAAGCTGTCAGGAACCCGGGCTCTGCGCCCCCTGCCCAGCCCCCCTCCTTAGCAGGTTGGCCTTGTCCTCATGCTTGTCACCCCAGGTTGCAGGCTGACTGTCACAGCTCCACACTTCACATTTATGTTCAAGGCAGGAAAGGGGCGGCCCTTTCTGACCCCTTTTATCAGGAAGCAAAAGCTTTCCCCTGAAGCCCCTCTGCCGACTTCCACAGACACCCCATTAGTCAGGAGGCTATCTCATGGCCACCCCTCTCTACAAGGGAACTAGAAAATGAGCATTTCACTCTTCCAGCCTCTAGAGAAAGTGGAGGGGAGCAGTTATTAGATAATGAATGGTATCCATAGAAGCTTTTCTCCTAATGGGTCCCATACCTCTCCTCCTAACCACTCCAGTGCAGAAATCCCCACTCCTCCTCCTGAGATGACCTGCCCTCCGGGGAGATTTCTCAGCCTCTCTCCCAGAGCAGAGAGAAAGGGAGGAAATGGCAATGTAAATCTCATACTCAGAAAGGTGGCAAAATTCCTATCAGAGGGAAGTTACCTTCCATCATGTTCCTTTCGCGCCAGACATCTACAGGGAAGGTGAAGGGAAAGTCAGACACACTGGAGCATCAGCCGGACCACCTATGCCTGGGGCATGGCAGGATGGGCGTGGGCATTATTTAGCAGAAGGCATTAATGATCTTTGGTAAAGTGTGGTCTTAGAGAGGAGTACAGAGGGGGAGGGATACTGTTCTGTAAAATGGGTGAGGGAATTGAGTCTGGGGGCACCAAAGGGCAGAATGGGGAGAAGGGGCTGGCTTGATAAACTCCAAGAAAAATGAGCTATACACCCAGATGTGCAGTGAGTGTGGAGCTTGCAGGGGCGGCATGGGGGCTGTCAAGGAAAACTGAGCATGGGTCCCAGAGCAGCACGAGGACAGAAACTGACAAGCAGGGGAGGCAGGTGCCGCCACTACCCCTGATCATGAGGTCCCGGCAAGGACAGGAGAGCTTGTGGCCCCAGTGCGGGGGGCTGGGCTCTGAGCCAAGCTCATTTGGCTCTCCAAGAACAGGACATCTCGAGGGCTGACTTCTGGCTTCCTGACACGCATTGAAATGCTGCAGACCTTATTCACTTGGGGGCAAGCGGGTAAGTCCTCAAATGGTGCTTTCCCTCCAGCCCTCAGAGGCCTCCACCACCCTGTCCCCCAGTTGCTGAAGGGTAGATGGCATGTATGGGAACCTGCATTTTCTGTCTTGCCCAATTACTGGGACATTCTGACCTGTCTGCTTGGAAGAGATGGTCAGAAGACAGGTGGCCTGAGCCCATGGCCACAGCCGGCTGCTGGGCCCTCAGCTCCCCTCTTTGCCCCAGCCCGAACCAAAAACCATCAAGTGGATGGAGCTTGGAGCTTGTTTTCTGGCCCTCTGGGTTTCCTCATCCAGCTCTCCTGAGGGCCACAGCCTTGATCCTGTCTGCCTGCCCCCTGGACTGTGCACTCCCAAGAAGCTTACCTCTGCCTATGTCCCCTCGGGCCTGCCACGTGCTGGGGACTCCCTAAGTGTGGATGACTGATAAATACTGAAGAGCCTCTATGCAGGGCCTGTCCTATACCCAACATCCCTGAGTTCCAGAACTTCCTCAACCGCCTTCCTTCAAACATCACCAAGCCCATGTCCCACACCTCAGAGACTGGGAGGATCCTTACCTGGCGCCCTAATCTGCGTTAAGGTGTCAAAGCCTGGAAGTCATGATCTATCTTTTCCATAGGCTTTACCCGCCAGTGTCCTGGCCCAGTGGGGTGACCCATGAAGATACTAGGCTGGTGGGACAGGTTTGGGGTCCTCATCCATGTTGTCACAGAGAAACTCAGGTACCAAACATGCTTTCCCAAAAGCCTTCACACTTCCTCAAATCCTGACCCGCAGGACCAGAGCAGGAAGAGGGAGCCTGCGTCAGGGCCCTTCCTCAGCACCCTGCCCTCTCCCCGACACGCGGCTGCCCCTGGCTGCACCCTCAACCCCCAGCTGGAACACGGATAGCGGGCTGGGACGGTTGAGTCTGAGTGGGGATGGAGACTGGACAGGCTCCGTTGGGGCAAAAGGGGCCCCTCTGCCCTCCCCAGCCCAGGTAACCTGAGCTCGGCATTGTGTCCATCCTCGAACAGCTGACATTGCTGCGGTCAGACAGCTGGTGGGGCTGGGCTGCCTGGCCAGGCTGGCTGGGGTGTGAGCTGTTACATGAGACGGAGAGTCTGCATCTCTGCCCCAGACCTGGGAAGCTACAGCCCCAGCTCATCACTGCAGAGAGCTGTGGCGCCATGCACGGGGGCCAGCGGCTGCTGCTCCTGCCCCTGCTGGCTATCAGCCTGGGTGTGGACACAGGGGGTCCGGGCCAGGGTGGGGGAGCCCTGGAGTAGGGGCCCAAGGCCTCAGCGGATAGAGGTGCAGAAGGCCTCTGAAGCCTGCCCCCCACCCCCAGCTCCCTGCTTCTCCACATCACTCCCTCCTGCGGCCCCCCCCTTCGCTCTGCCTCAGCCCTGGCCCCCAGGCTCATCACTGCCCTCATCACTACCCGTTGCAGGAGCCCAGGGCAGGAACCAGGAGGAACGTCTGCTCTCAGACCTGATGCTCAACTACAACCCGCACCTGAGGCCAGCCGAGCGTGATTCGGACGTGGTCAATGTCAGCCTGAAGCTCACCCTCACCAACCTCATCTCCTTGGTGAGCCACAGGCCTGCAGGATGGCTGGGGAGGAGAGGGCCAGCACACACAGCCCTGGGACCTGCTGGGGAGTGGAAGCAGCTGGCTCCAGCAGCCAGGAGAGGGAAGGGCCCCACAGGGGAGAGGGAGGGTGGAGCTGGAAAACTCCCGTGGGGTGTCTTCCGGGGCCCAATAGTAGTCTACAGGGACTAACATCTGGGGAGGGCAAGTGATACAGGCTTAGCCCTCTGTTCTGCACCCCTAGAATGAGCGAGAGGAGGCCCTCACCACCAATGTCTGGATAGAAATGGTGAGAGGCCCCCTGCTGCCCTCTTTCCCACTATCAGGCCACCCATGCTCAGACCCCAAGGCCCTGAGGGCTGTCTCTCCTGCCTTCCCCGCTCCCCCCATCCCTGCCTCTTCTGTGGCCCCTGGGCTGGACTCCAGTTCCTGGGGGTGTGGCACAGCCAAGAGTAGGGGTCTGGCAGCCTCTCTCCCCTGCAGCAATGGTGTGACTATCGTCTACGCTGGGACCCACAAGACTACGAGGGCCTGTGGGTGCTGAGGGTGCCATCCACCATGGTGTGGCGGCCGGATGTCGTGTTGGAGAACAAGTGAGGGGGTGCAGGCAAGAGTGGGGGGACCAAAGGGCCCAAGGGCAGCACCCAGCAGGTCAGCGGGGCTTTGGGAAAAGAGGTGAACAGAGGGTGCAGACTGGGTGTGCCCCAAGGAGCTGGGGAGGACTGGACGGAGCAGGTGCTGACCGGAGGGCCCAGGGCTGGCAGCCCTGGTTCTAGGCCTGGCTCCATTACCTCCATCACCTCTGGGCTGGGATGTCTGGGCAGGCTGCTCCCCTCCCTCTAACATGGGGTTGAAGACAGCCCCTAGAGAAGCTGTCTGGAGTCAGAGTTAGGCATGGAAGGGCTGAGCTCCTGCTCCGGCACTGCAGGAGCTTAACAGGTATCAGCCACTATCCTGACCGTCCCTGAAGAGAGCTGGAGGCAGCGGTGATGGGGTGGGCCTCAGGAGGCGGCAGGAGGGGTGCAACAGGAGGTCGCTGCTGGGAGGTAGTGGCTCCCTTGGCCAGGTGGGGACCAGGCAGGGGCAGGACAGGCTGGGACGGGTTGGTGTCCCCCGCCCCGACCACATGGGACACAAGGCTAGCCTGGGGTGCAGGTCTCAGCCAAGTAGGGGGCTATGAGCCCTCAGCCTGTGGCCTGGCCTGTGTGCAGTGTGGACGGCGTGTTCGAGGTGGCTCTCTACTGCAATGTGCTCGTGTCTCCTGATGGCTCCGTCTACTGGCTGCCCCCTGCCATCTTCCGCTCCTCCTGCCCCGTCTCTGTCACCTACTTTCCCTTCGACTGGCAGAACTGCTCCCTCGTCTTCCAGTGAGGCCATTTATTTGGGGGGGAGGGGGTGGCTGGGGATTCAGGTTGCTGCTCTAAGGTGGGCCCTGGCTGGGTGGGGGCTGAGAGGCTTCTGACCAGGGGCCTGGCCCCGTCTCTCTGGGGCCTCTGTACCTGTCTCAGGCCCAGATACCTGAAGGCGCCTACATCTTTCCTAAGTCCCAGTCCCCACTCCTCCTCCTTCACTGCCTCAGTTTCCCTGCCTGTGCCCAAGGGGAGAAATTAATGACTGGGGTGGGTGAACGGGAAGGCACATGCATGCCCACAACATGAGTGCTACCCCCCCACACACAAGACCACTACACCCCACAGCCCTGCGGAGAGGCAGGGGCTGGTTCCGTTTCCTCTCCGTAAGGGAAGGAAAGGTCTGTGTGAGAGTTTGCCCGTATTTTAGAGGAGCAGCCTTATTACAAGGAAACCTTGCAGGGAGACCCTCCTCAACAAACAGACCCAAGAGGTACAGACACTATTTCCTTTGTTATCCATCGGCCCTGGAAGCAGTGGGAGGGAGAAACACAGTGGCCCTGGGCTCTTGGCGCTGAGCCAGAGCCTCCTGGCCCTTCAACTCAAACTTCTCTGGACCCCAAAGAGCCCAACTCCCCCCACATCTTGCTGCCAGGTTGTATAGAGTGTTGGATGGACTCTTTGAGGCAAAACTGCCCACAGTTGCCCTCAGATCACTGTCTATGTGACTTCATGGGTGGGTTTACACACACACAAATTTATCCTCTTTCTCTCCGTGGCTTCCAGGTCCCAGACCTACAGCACCAATGAAATCAATTTGCAGCTGAGCCAGGAAGATGGTCAGACGATCGAGTGGATTTTCATTGACCCCGAGGCCTTCACAGGTAACCTCCACCCAGGGCCCTGCTGGACCTGGCTTCCAAGGCAGAGCCAGGCAGAGATCATGCCCCCTCCCATGTAGCTCAAGATGAAAACTACAGTAAGCCATAAAATGTTTTTAAAGGCCCAACGAAGTTCTGATTTCCCAGGATAATCACTCCAGCTCCGGTGGGAGGGGTGTAGTATGCAGTATCCTGCCTGTCTCCCTCCATGGTGCTCCTTTGGGCACACACTGGCTGTGCTGCTGCCGGGTCGCGTGCGCCGTGGGGATCTGCCCAGCCCCCACCCCTGGGACCCACCCCAGCCTGCTGCCTGCAGAGAACGGGGAGTGGGCCATCCGGCACAGGCCAGCTAAGATGCTGCTGGATGACGCGGCACCAGCCGAAGAGGCGGGCCACCAGAGGGTGGTTTTCTACCTGCTCATCCAGCGCAAGCCCCTCTTCTATGTCATCAACATCATCGTGCCCTGTGTACTCATCTCTTCTGTCGCCATCCTTATCTACTTCCTGCCTGCCAAGGGTACCTGGAGCCTGTGGGAAGGGAGCCATGACCAGCAGCACAGGGGACAAGTTGGGAGGGGACAGAGTGACACTATTCTGGGACAAGGGATACTGGGCTCTTGTAGAGTGAGGGGAGGTATCCCACGGCGGGGAGGTTGAGATTTGCTCTTAGGACCTCTTGGTCACGGGCAGCGGGTGGCCAGAAATGTACTGTCGCTATCAACGTGCTCCTGGCCCAGACCGTCTTCCTCTTCCTTGTGGCCAAGAAGGTGCCCGAGACCTCCCAGGCGGTGCCACTCATCAGCAAGTAAGGCCAGTCTTCATGCCTGCCACCCATCTCCTCCTGTCCTTTCTTGGCAACTCCAGGCACTGCCCACCCGCCACCTCCCCACCCCCATCCTCAATGGCAGCCCCTCAGTCCAGGAGATCTGGGGAATCAGCCGCTAAGGGTAGGGGTGGCACCTGGGAATGGAGTGCCAATAGGCCAGCCCTGCCTCCTGCCCACGCCGCTTCCGCAGGTACCTGACTTTCCTCCTGGCGGTGACCATCCTCATCGTTGTGAATGCTGTGGTTGTGCTCAACGTGTCCTTGCGGTCCCCACACACACACTCCATGGCCCGAGGGGTCCGCAAGGCAAGGCCCTTCCCTGCCCCCACCAGCATCCTCCTGCTTCTCCCCCCAAACCCTGACCCTAGGCATTTACATTTGCTGCCACACTGAGTAGCAAACCTGCCCTGTGCAAATCTTGAAGCATGTGCCCAAGGGGATTTATGATAATACTGAGTGCTTACAATGTGAAAGGTGTGTTACACACACTAACTTATTTAATCTGCATAGAAGCTGAATGAAGTGGGTATTAGTGTCATCTGATTTTACAGATGAGGAAAATAAGGCACAGAGAGGCTAAGTAGCTTATCCAAGATTGTACAACTACAAAGTGGAGGGGAGAGTTCTGCCCAGGCAGTCTGGCTCCAGGGTCTGTGTGATCAGCAGCCCAGCTGCAAAAGTCAGCTAGAGCCCTTGTCACAAATGCAGATGCCAGGGCCATGCCACACATCCTGCCCAAACTAGCAGGGGTACTGCCGAGAAACTTGTGTTGTAACAAGTGCCCGGGTGATTCTGATGTGCACGAAAGTTTGGAGATCCGGGCTCAGCATCTAGTACAGAACAGCACTGAACCAGGGACAAGCAAGCCACTGCTCCCAGCAGGCTGTCTCTGAGTCCCTGGCAGCATGAGCCCTTCATGCCAACCTCTACCTTCTGCTCTGAAGCCAGCCTGGCTACCCAAATGCCGAGGTCTGTGGGCTGCGGAGCTAAGCTGCCCAGAACATCCCCTCTCCAGGTGTTCCTGCGACTCTTGCCCCAGCTGCTGCGTATGCACATTCGCCCGCTGGCCCCAGTGGCTGTGCAAGATGCCCGGCCCAGGCTACAGAATGGCTCCTCCTTGGGGTGGTCAATTGCCGCAGGGGAGGAAGTGGCTCTCCGCCTGCCTCGCAGTGAACTCCTCTTCCGGCAGTGGCAGCGCAATGGGCTGGTGAGGGCAGCGCTGGAGAAGCTAGGTGAGGCGGGGCTGTGGCGCTGCGGACACTCCTTCCAGTGACTCCAGACAGGGAGGACTGTCTGTTGGCCAATGCACCAGGCGCAGCAGATGAGTGCTGGGCGAGCGTCCAGGTTGGGGGGAGAGGGACATGGGTCCCTAAGAAGAGGCCGCTTTCTCAAATGTTTCCCCTCCTTTCTACTCCCAAACCTCACCTCTCTCCTCAACAGAGAAAGGCCCAGAGCCAGGGCAGAGCCAGGAGTTGTGTGGCAGCCTGAAGCAGGCCTCGCCAGCCATCCAGGCCTGTGTGGAAGCCTGCAACCTCATTGCCCGTGCCCGGCACCAGCGGAGCCACTTTGACCGTGTAAGCCAGTCCGGGGGTGGGGTTGGCGGTTGAGTACCTGGTGAGGGACGTGGACCTGAGAAGGGGACAGGATGAGTCAGGTGGCCATTAGGGCAGGGGATGGAAAAAGTGGCATTGGGAATGGGGAGGGCAAGGAGCATCAGAGCCAGGGAACCATGAAGAAGCCAGGCTGAGGCCTTGAAGTAGGTGAGAAGGGCACAAGGAGATGGAGAATGGAAGCCTGCTGGATGGCCAAGGATGGTACCGGGATCAGAGCAGGCTTGGTGTCTCCTGTCCTCAGGGGAACGAGGAGTGGTTCCTGGTGGGCCGCGTGCTGGACCGTGTCTGCTTCTTGGCCATGCTGACGCTCTTTGTCTGTGGCACTGCTGGCATCTTCCTCATGGCCCACTACAACCAGGTGCCTTTGCTGCCATTCCCTGGAGACCCCCGTTCCTACCTGCCATCACCTGACTGAGCCAACCAACTTCTGTTAGCCATTGGGAGCCTTAGCTGTGTTCCGCTGCTGCTGAGGTCATGAGTGTGCCCTTCGGGAAGTGCCCTCCAGAGCCATGTGAGCCAACTGGCCTTGAGAAAAGCTGGGGAAATAAAAAGAGAGAGCTGGAGTCTTGGAGTGGTTGGGAACAGGCTGTGGGCAGGGCAGACTGTGGGGTCAGTATCCACGTGGCACTGGCTAGCCAGTCCTGGTGATACCCTCACTTGAGGAAAGCATTATCAACTTCCATCATTTCGGAAGCCCTAAAGACTGTGTTCTATATGACGTCCCCAACTAGGCAAGGTCCTATGCCTCTAAGCCTGGGTTTCCCCTCCCTTTCGCGAGTGGTCTGCAGGCTCCTAAGGGAGGGAAGTCAAGAGAGATGAGAGGAGTAGCAGCCAGTGTTCTCTCAAAAGAGGACAGCAGCCCACTCCACCTGGCATCTCCCTCTCCTGGCTTCTGGGAGCTATAAGCACCTAATACCTGCGCCAGTGACCTTTCCATTCACATGCATTTTTTGTCACTGACCACAAAAGATTTCATGGTTTTTACTATCTTTTTTTTTCATTGTTAAGAGCTCCTCGCAGCAAAACAAGAGTCTTGACAAAAAAACAAGAGTTGCTATTCTCCCACGTTTCAGATGGCCTAATTGGGGCCCAGAGTAAGAGGGGCTCCCCAGGACTGGTGGCTAAATAAGATTTGGAGTCCAAAATTCCCAACTCTGACCCAATTTTAGACACTCTAAGAAAGATTCTAGGGTCTGGATAATGGACCCCTCTCCATTCTCTTCTCAAAGACCAGGGCATTTGCACTGGTCCCCAAAGGACGGTTAACATGAGGAGCAGGGAGGCTGGGAGGTCACAGGAACCCTGGGCTCTGCCTTCTGGTAGGAGACCCTGGGTCCCATTTAGGAAACAAAATGGCCAGCTGAGGTCTTCCTGGGAGAGATACATGGCCCTGCTTTGAGAGAACAAATGGGGCCCGAGTTCTGTTGGTGACAAGACAACTTGGGCAAGTCTTTTGTGCTCCCTGAGCCTGTTACCTCATCTGTACACATGGGCACAGACAGTTCCTATCTACCCTTATCACAGGATCAAATGTTCAGGTGAAGGCGTTTCAAAATGTGATAGTGTCCCGTAAAGACGTGACAATGGGACATGGTGGGAGGGAGTGTTGAAAACCTCAGAAATAAGCCCTCCTCCAAGTACAGTGCTCCTGGCTTTGGAGCTCAGTGACCAGCAAGGTAATTTCGTTTACTCCAGCTAGTGTGTCTTGAGTGCATGGCCACTCTATATTTGGAGCAGAGACTTAAGAGCAGGGAGGTAATTTGGTGACGGTGGCACGGTTTCTGGCTTCTGTAATGCTCTCACTAGCTTTGTCACCTAGGGTTAGTCTTTAAACTTCTCTGACCGCCTCAGGGGCGGAGATTAGCTCTGTAGCTCCTGGAACAAGTAAGCAAAGACGCACAGCAGCTACCACAGCTTGAGGGTTACTGTGTCTAGCGCCTGACACTGATTATCTCGCTCGGTCCACCCGGCAACCTGCAGACGCCGGTTCTGTGACCCAGTACCGCGGGTACCGAATGGACACACCCTCGGGGAGGTGAAGAGGGAGTCCAGCCCCGTGCAGCCCGCCCTGGGGGTGGAGGGGGGATTTACACCAAACGATGGGTCCGAGCCCGCGCTGCCCCCTCGTACGCGCGCCCCGAGGCGGCCGGCGAGGACGGGCACACGGCCCAGCCCTCCGCCTGCGCAGCCGCCCTGCGCGCGCGGGATACCCGCCCCCGCCCCCACCCGGCCAGCGCGCCGACGTTCCGTCGCGCCCCGCGCAACCGGAAGTGGCCGGGCCTTCGGCGGAGGGACCTGGCGGAGCGGAAGTCACTCCGTGAGGCAGTAGCGGCAGCGGCGGCGAGAGGATGAACAACAAGTTCGACGCGTGAGTGGCGCGTGGCCGTCCCCCGGGACCCCTTCCCACAGCCGTTCCCCGCGTCCGCCCCTTTCGGGGCCAGTGGCGCCGTCGCAAGGTCTGCGGCGCCGGCCTCCCTCCCGGGGCTGGGCTGCGGGCCAGCCAGGGCCCGGGCGGCCGGAGGAGAGGAGGGGGCTGCGGAGGCGGGGTGCGGGGATCCCGAGGACCCCAGGGTTGTACGGACCGAGGGGAGCGCAGGGGCCCGGGGGTAGAGGAGGTGGCGTGCTGTCCGTCAGATTTTAGGACGCCCGACCCGGTGGGTTCGATGGGTGCAGATCGCCAACGGCGTGGAGGGGTGGAGACCTCAGCGGTTTGGGTGTTCTCGCAGCCCGGCCCCCCTGTCTTTGAATCCAGCTTTCCTCACACACTCACTCTGGTCTGGCCGTGTCGCCTCTCCTGTCTGAGTCTGTTTTTCCATCTGCAAAGCGGGGACGGTAACAGAGCCCGTGTCCTAGAGCCGTGAAGATGCAATGAGGTAATGTGGCTGCTGCGCTCGGCCCAGTGGCGGTTCAGTTACCGAATTCTGAGAGCCTCCCTGAGACTCCTTCTTTCTTTCTCATGCCCCTCCTTTCCCTTCTTCCACCACACTTGATCAGAGATGCTGGGTTTCAGGCCCAGTGGGTATTCCTGTCATCACCTCCTTCTGCCCCCTGCCTAGCTCCAGCATCAAACAGTTGGGAGGTGTGGAAAAGAAAAGTATTTTTGGATATTTCCCTCCAGCAATTGTATCTTGAGATTAATGATGTTCTTACTTCTAGTCGTCTAGTAAAGCTCTCTGATCTAACAAAGACCTGGATTTCCAGTCCCAGACCCGCCAGTCACCAGTTATTTGACAGCAGAAAAGTTACCCAGCCTCGGAGCCTTTGTTACCCAAACCACAGTAGTGGTTAGTGCCCTACTGCTGCACTGGGGTGGGATAGGGATCAAGTCATTCAGCCATGCTTAAAAGTATTTTGTAAATTGCTAAATAGTGACATATAAATGTACAGTGGAATTACTGTTAGTTTAGATTGTGAACTGCTGCTGCTGATGGGAAATTCGTGTTTTTCCAGTACAATGAATGCTAATGCACAAATTCAGGTGGCTTGGATTCCAGTAGCCCAGGCAGTAACTCAGAAATGTTTCCTGGTTGCTGAGATGTCTTTGCTACTTGAAAAAATTATTTGGCAGGTCACTACAGCCTGCCACTTCTAGCCTGTTGCGTAGCTGAGCCCATCCCCATATGAACCCTCTTTTCCCCATAGTAAACTCTGCAACACATAACTCCAGATCTAAATCCCGCCTCACAGAGCTTTCTGCAAACCCTGTACCCCTTCCTCACTGCATTGAACAAATCAGTGTTTCATGTTAAGGAGACACTGGGTCGTCTGGCCCCGCTTACCCAAATCATTTGGAGGTCTGCAGTAAGCTAATTTAAGAATGGTAATGTTTCCACCGGCACATTACCTGCTAGAGACTTTTTATGTATTATTTCTACTCCTAACAACCCTGCAAAGGGGATCTTGTTACCTCCTTTTACAGGTAAGAAAAATGAGGCTCTCTGAGGTAAAATAACTTGCCCACAACGAAAGGAAGGGCCATATGGTGGGATTCAAATCCAGTTTTATTGCTTAATGGTTCAAGCACCTCTTGACAAAAATTAACCTGGGTCATTTTTAATTAGTTCTAATTATTAACTGCCCTTAAACTGAGCCAGGATTTTTTAACATCTGTCTTCTGTATAAGCAGGAAAAAACAAGGCTTTCATTTGCAATAGCAATTTACATCAGCTCTCCTGCCCCTAGTTTTGTTTTTGTTTTTCATGCAGAAAGTCTGCAGTTTTTAGAACATTATTACATATTTGCCTTCTACACTCTTTACCTAAGGAAGTGGACCAGTTTATCAGAAACGAAAAGTCTAGTGCCTGGAACTAAGTACAGTAATTGGTAATCTGATGGGCTCAGATTAAGGAGGAACTCTAGCCTCTTTTGCTGTGTGGCTTTGAATTCTACCAGCATAAGTAAAAACAATTATTGTTCCCCGCCCCCACATCTATTGCCATTGATCCTATTGACATGTAAAACCCCACGATGTTTTCACTATTCTGCAGTCCCAGTTGTGATAAGCTTGGTTTTCAGATGTAGATGTCATACTTGATTTTGTCCCTATTCTCTCTGCTAGTTTTTGGCCCATTCTTAGCTCTTGCCTCCACCATTTATTTGGCACTCATCCTATGTGAACTTGCATTGCAAAGATTTTAGAAAACCATTCATTAAACATAATTTGTTTTCTGCCTCTGTGTGACGCTGGACATGTAAAGGTGAGTTAGACTCAAGTTCCTACCTGCAAGAAATTAGTCTAGTCAAACAATGTGCAGATGTACCTGGGCAGAAGATCCCTGAGCTAACTAGGAGCCATTAATTAAGTCTGGACAGCCTCAGAGATGATAATTGCCTGCCTGAGTCTATGGAGCACTGATTTTAACTCTGGATTGTTATCTTGGCTCAAATCCAGTTCCAAGCTGGAAAGAGTAGCCTCTCAAGATAGGATGCAAATGACTTGCCTTAAGTGTAGGCTCAGAGGACAGGTAGCTGGTCAGCTCCACCCTCAAGAAATAACCTCACAAGATGAAAATCGATTAGGGTTTCCATTTACTGTCACAGAGAAGAGTTGGGCAGTGTGGTCGAGGGATCACAGTACAATTGTTTCTTCTCTGACATGATTATTTTTTATATTCTTTTATTGCTTTTAGTAGTGATTACCACTAGAAAGAAAGGAACTTACTATTCTTTGCTTGGGACTAGCAATATGAGATGCTGAGGTGACTGTGTCACTCTCCAACATTTAAAGGGAAGGGATCCCAGAGGAAATTGGGGTAGGGGGAGAGCTGAGAAGAGAGGGAAATGGTTGAGTCCCTGGGCTATGCCTTGAAGAAGAGAGGTAGGAGTGTCTTGGGCCTATGCCATATAAAAACCCTTGAGATGTTCTTGATCAGGAGACAAAAAACTAGCCTGACAGTATAGCTGGGACAAGTGCAAACATTTATATAGGGGATTTCAGAAGAAGGGAGCCTGACTCAGCTTAAGGAGAGATTAGGAAATATTTCCAAGAGAAGTTGGCCCTCAGTCTGAGTCCTGAAGGCAAGTAGGGGAAGGGAAGTTCTCAGAGAGACCATGTAATGAGCAAGACAGGAGTGAGGTCGAGGAACTGCCAGTAGGTTGATACCACTAGAGTGGAAGGAGTTTGTTGCGGCCAGGCAGGAGGTGGTGTCCTGTGTAAGCAGAGCAGGGCCTTGATATCATGCTGAGGCCTGAATGTGGTGCCTTCTCTCTTGAGGCAGGTCCTTGGGAACAGGCACTCTGTAGTACCTGATACACACAGTAGGTACTTGGTAAATGCTGTGGGACTTATGTGCTAGACAGGCCCCTTTTGGAAAAGAAAACAAACCAACTTAAGTTTAATAAAGGGGAAGGGGTATTGTACACTCAGTACTGGTCTCCCAGAAATCCAGGGAGGTTGAACTAAGCCAGCGAGATGGGAGCATCGCAGACAGCCACTGGCCTGCCCACTTTGTCTGCTCATCCACTTCATTCCCTTCCTCCCTGCTGGCTTTCTCTGCTTTTGCTCACTGTGTTTCCCTCATGATTTTTCCATATGGCCCTCATATGCTGCCCCAGCTCCTGAACCTGTGTGATCTTTCATCTCTGGGTGAAAAGCTAAGGGAGAATTCTCCGACTTTGAGCTTGGCTCTGATAGGTTATTAGCCAGGCTCTCCTGCTCTCTGGCCAGGTGCCCTTGGCTAGGGTGGCGGTGGGAATGTCCATGGGGAGCAAATGACCACCTGAGTATACCCTACAGCTAGGGCTGTGGAGTAGGCAGAGCAGTTGTCACCCCACCACATGACTAATACAAATGCTTTACAGTGTGTTTCAGTATCTGTGTAGGGTAGTATCATTTCTAGTACCTTTCTTGAGAATTACCTAATTCCCATTTAACTAGTCATTAGGGCCAGAAAGGTAATTTTGGTGAAGATCTGTGATAAGCTAATGGTCCAGCTCTAGACTAAACAGCATTCTTACTATCTTTGTGAACACACTTTCCATTGATTTTTTTTTTGTCTGAATCCAGTGCACTTTAGGTGTACCTGAACGTCTTAGGGTAGTTTCACTTCTTTTAAAAGGCTAGTGCCTGAAGTACATTTGACTGTTTATAAGGGAGGAAGGCATTCATTCCTTCTTTCAACCATTTTTTTTTTTTCCATTTAACATTGATTCAGTATCTTCTTGTGCTAGATCTTCTTGTTAGGGTAATATCTTCTTGTCCTAGGTGCTACAGTTACAAAGGTCAAGAAGGTAAATGTCTAAGGGATCCCTCTGTCTAATAGGAAAAACAAACACGGGAGGAATGGCACAGCAGGTCGAGGGAGTGGTGTTCACAAACAGTGGAGATGTGGGAATATAGGCTGCTTTGTGAGGTAGGGGAAGGGACAGAGTAGGTCAGTAGGCAGGAGTCAGATTCTAGTACATTTGAAGTACATTCGTGCAGGGTGGGCACCAAAGGGCAAGGACAGTGGAGAGTTTGGAGCATGGAAGTTAAATGAGCAGATTCTTTCTTAGGAAGGTCATGGTTGTGGGAGTGTGGAGGATGAATGGAGGGAGCAGCTCATTTGAATCAGGGAAACCACTTGAGAATTTCCTGTAATAATTGAGATGATAGGAGGAGAGGGCCTGAACTACAGCATTGGCAGTGGGGGAGGGATAAAAGAGATGGTTAGAAGAAGTCACAAGAAAGGTAGGTAGGTTTTTAAACTTCATTTGAAATGCTAAAGCAGTTATTTAACACAGAAGCTCTTCTCGTTATTGACTGTTTATTATTGTTACTATTTTTATTTTAAGGTATGATTGATATACATTCTTACGAAGTTTTCACATGAAAAAACAATGTGGTTACTACATTTACCCATATTATCAAGTCCCCACCCATACCCCAGTGCAGTCACTGTCCATCAGTGCAGCAAGTTGCCAGAGATCCACTATGTCCCTTCTATGTGATATAGTGTTCTCCCCGTGATCCTCCACACCATGTGTACTAAACATAATACCCCTCAGTCCCCTTCTCCCTCCCTCCCCACCCGTCCTCCCACCTTTGGTAACCACTAGTTCATTCTTGGAGTCTGTGTTTTGACTCTTTATTTTTGGCCAAAAAAACCCCCAAAACAGTCCCTTTAACTGTTTACCTCTTGCTTCTTTGTGCAGCCTATTGGAAAATTGCAAGACAGTGCTTTTTGGAATTCACATGTTACCTAAGGGGCATTTCATTTTTGTTCGATCCTCCTAATTGCCCTTCTGCATTCCCTGGTCCTTCTTCCATCTCATGTGCTTCTCATTGCCTGTATTTTGAGTAACTTCGGTTGATTGCATGGTTGTTCATTTGACCTGGTGGCTTTGTCAGGTAAGCAAGAATCAGTTCAGTCATGGAACAACATTGTTTTGTCTTCTCATTCAGATTAAAAGATGATGACAGCGGGGACCATGATCAAAATGAAGAAAACAGCACACAGAAAGATGGTGAGAAGGAAAAGGCAGAACGGGACAAGAGCCAGGGTGGCAGCAAGAGGAAGGTGAGTTCCCTGCTGCAGGATGTAGTTACCTTTGGACTTGAGACTTGATTATCTATTGGAATTGGTTTATCTGGGAGACCTTGGATTAACTTGATAGCACCCTGTTTTGGAATACGTAGTTTTGTTCCTTAATTAAAAAAAAGGGATTGTTGAATCACTGGAGTTTATTTTGGTACTTAGAGCTTTTCCCTTGTCACAAGAGTCCCTTAGCCTGAGGGACGGAAGATTAATCCTGGTGTTTAACAAGGCTTTTAGTTGCTTCATAAGCTGCTGTTGAGTATTTAAAATCCTGCACGTTCCTTGAAATTCTAAACACTTTAGTCAGTAATAGTCTAAGCTGAAAGTGACTTGGAAAATAAAATTAGGAAAATGAGAGATACTGATCAATTTATTTCCTCAAACATGAAAGCAGTTATTAATTCATGTGTTCCACAATATTGAGTACCCTCTGAATGCAAGCATTTTAGGTGCTAAGAGGACACAAAGATGAATGAGACTGTGGATCAAGGAGCTTATGTTTAATATTGGCAGTAATAATAGTAACTGACGTTGAGCACTTACTATGTGCCAGGCACTATGCTAACAAGCACTTTACATCAGTTAATTTATTTGAGTCTCTCAGAAACCCTGTGAAATGATTGTTACTATTTTTCGCACTTTTCAGATAAGCAGCTGAGGCACAAACACGTTAAGCAATTTCCCCCAGGTCACTAGTCAGTAAGTGATAGAATGTCATAGAGAAGGCGGTACTTGGCCTGGGAATACATTGAGATAGACACAGACATAAATATCTATGATAGGAAAGAGAAAGTTTAAAAAGCCATAAGAACACCAAAAAAATGTTATAGGAACTTTGAATCAGCTAGCCACTAACAAAATTTACTGTGTAAGCAGAATTTTGGGCACATTGCAGGTAATCGAGGATGTATCCTTTTTAATTGGGGAGGTGGTAAGGGGTGACACTGTAAAATGTTTTCTCCATCTCTGAGTATTTGAAAAATGTCCAGGATTAACACATCCTCTCTAATTCACAGGCTGTTGTCCCTGGACCAGCAGAGCATCCCCTGCAGTATAACTACACTTTCTGGTACTCCAGGAGAACTCCCGGCCGTCCCACTAGCTCACAGAGCTACGAACAGAATATCAAACAGATCGGCACCTTTGCCTCTGTGAGTACTTAGTGGTTTAACGTAGTGTGCCTTGGTGACACATTCATGCCCCCGTTTTATCACTGTGTTTATTTACCCTCTTGGTGACCTATTTAGGATCCGGGTTTCTTTAGTTGACTGAGTCCCTGAGGGGTCAGGATGTTCATTCTTAAATATTTCTCATTAGACATTCATTGGTAACATACATAGGTGTCAACAAGTATGTGAATTGTGGAATTGATCAGAAGGGGACAATACCGAAATACAGCTTTGTTTGTTTAAGCAGCTGTGTGCTGAGTCCTTAGTATGCGCAAAGCCTCATGGGGGACACAAAATTTTATAGTACATGGAGTCTGTTCTCATGAAGCTTGACATTAGAGTTCAAAAGTTTATTTTGTATTTAAGAACCTCATGTTAGGGTTTTGGATATTTTAGTGATTATGCATAAAAGTATCATCTTTTTTCTGTGTTCAGAAAGAAAAGTGAAATATCTTAATTGTTCTTGACAGTACCATCAGTGTAGAAAGCCCAGGCTCAATTACTTGAGTAAGTGGAGGAACCAGCATTGAACCTTAGGTTTGGTAAGCTATAAAAGCCACATTCAAAAGCCCATGCATATTTTTCACTCTTTAATACATTAATATGCATGCCAAGAGACTCCAAGTTTTAAAATATTGCTTGCTAGACAAATTATATTTACCTATTATTAATCAGGTATATAACTGGTAATCAGATCATCTGATCACTATACTGAGTTATATCATTTCAACCAGAAGCAAAGATCTTGCTTTACTTGGCCTGTTTTACAGTGTACCCTTTTTACTGGTAAATTTACGCTTTTTTGAGACATGAAAAACAGCTTGTGCCCTGCTTCGTATTTGGTTCAAGAAATGTTGAATGAGCTCAAAGCACTCATAAGGTTCTAAAATGAACTGGGACCTGCCCTTAGGGAAATAAGTCACACCCAGGAATTTCTCTTACAGGAGACAGTGAAAAGTGCTGTAGGGAAGGCGTAGCTGTAGTGCTTTCGGAGTACAGAGGAAAGAAGGAATTAATTCCTATGTGGAGAAAGCCTCTTTGGAGGAGACAGCTTAAGACTGAATTTAAAGAATTTGAACAGCTGATAAGAGAAAGGAATTCTTGGCAAAGGAAACAATAGAATTAAACTTTTAAAAATATCTATACTTTCCTGACATTCCAATCTATCACAGAAAATTTGATTACCTGCTATGTGGGAATGCTAAACATTCATTACAGGTAGAATAGCAGCCATTATGTTAACAACTGGCTAATGAGCATCTTGAAGATCAGAGGAGAAACTGAACTGGGAGGAAGTTCTTTTTCAGGATTCTGTTCAGGGTTTTTTTTGGTAATTAATATTTCCAGCATTTTTCCTTTCCTCTTAAGAAAGGCGTATATGAATTTACCCAACTGGATAAGGTGCCAGGAAGGTTTTTGTTTTGTTTTGGATGTATGTTGAGTTGAATAGAGTTTATCATCAGTTCTTAGGATAATGCTGCTTTGATACTCACTGGGTGTGTGGCAGAGTATTTAAAGTGTGCTGTCATGTAATTCAAGGCATTAGGAAATATCTCATAATTAGTTAAATTGTTCACAGAGACATAGTCACATTGTGAAACCTTTTATCAACTCCAAAGCAGTATTTTCCAGTGGACCTTAATATCCAGTATTTGGTAATTATTTAAAAGTTTTATAAATCAGGGTGATTAAGAGGGCAGTGTCTTAAACTGGAAAGAGCATTGGACTTGGGGAATCCCAAGGCATCTTTATTCTGGTGCTTGACTCTGTGGACTGGGACAAGTTCTGAAAATATTTTCTCAACTGTAAGAGGAAGAGTAGTTGAGATGATTTCTGAGGTCTTTCTCCACCTCATATTCTGAATCTGAACATATATTTTTTTGGTTTGAAAAATGCAAATTGCCTAAAGAGAAAGAAAAAGTCTTTCCAAGTTTAAGAGTATTTCTTGAGCTGCTGAATTGTTTCTCTTGTGTTTTAACAATTAGATTGGAGGAGACCACACCTAATAAAGTAGTGCTTGATTGGGGAATTAAAGATTGCTGGTTACTTCCTTCCCACACCACGCTCCAAATTCCTAATTCACAGTGGGCCACAGGTTCTAGTGAGTGTACTTTGTTTCTGTCCACTGTTAGGGTGGAAAAAGATGATTGCTCAGTGTATGTGTGTGACCACTTCCTGTCTCAAATCTCTATAAAATTAAGCATAGCAGTTGCTACATTGAAGACCTACAAATGGCATTCTTACTTCTTTGTAACATGAAACACTTCGGTGTTCCTGCTCTGTGGAGAAATTGAGGACCAGCTGTTTTCCACAGTGTATGGTCTGTTTTTCCTCAGTTGCTGTCCAGTGCCCATTTTCAGCTACACATGGCATCTTGCTCAGCAGTGTGTTAGTAAAGACCAATTGTTTCTACAGGCTGTTCCATGTGTACTCTTTCCTCCTAAAGTGTGCTTTTCATAAAGGCCAGTACTTTGTAGGTGCCCTCTGAGTTGCAGAGAAATAGGGAAGTAATCTATCCTATCAAGTAACTAATGAGAGAAATGGGAATAGCACAATCAGTATAAATGAGCATACATCTGATAGAGAAATATGTCTGGTTATCCAACAAAACTCTGAAGGAAGGACAAGGAAAAACACAAATTTGCTAGCTAAGAGAGACTTAAACCCTAAGTTTGAGAAGCTAAGTTCTGTGTGGTTTTGGACTGCCCTGGCCTTAGCAGCAGTACCATGGTATAGAGCAATGCATCAGTTGTTTCCATCACTTGTGCTCAGTAACTAAGCAAAACTAAAATATTTCATTGTAGCTAATGCTGTCTGCCAGTAACCAGTCTTTGATCAAGAATTGATCAAAGTTCAGGTTATAAAATAAATGTTATGGGGATGTAATATGCAGCATGCTGGCCATAGTTAATAATACTGAATTTTTTTTAAAGTGATTTGGTCCTAATAAATACATTCAGGCTGAGTTTATGTGACACTAAATATATCTCGAGGCTAAAGGGTTTCCATTGTGTGAAACAAAGTCCTCTTACAGCCTGTGACGGGAAGCCCTGCAGCTTCCTCAGGGGCGCATACTCACGTGACCTCACCCACTTCTGGCTGAGGCTGGCACTTTTAACCTAAATAATTTATTCTTACATCAACAATATTACATTTTTTTTTATCAGACTACATTATGCTTTCCTCTAACACCTTCCTTCCCACATGAAATCCCCCAAATGAAAATGTGTCCTCTAGAATGTACAGCTTATAGCAGAGTGTCTTCCATGTTTATGCTTTCCTCTTAAATAAACCTTGGTTCATTCAGAGAAAAAGAAAAGACACATCTTTTGTACTCCTGGGCCCTTTTCTGCAGGTGGAGCAGTTCTGGAGGTTTTACAGCCACATGGTACGTCCCGGGGACCTGACAGGCCATAGTGACTTCCATCTCTTCAAAGAAGGAATTAAACCTATGTGGGAGGTGAGGACTGAGAACCTTGGGCCGCCTTTCTGCCTTTTTTCTTTAGCCCTGCCACGTTTGAAGTATTTCAGAGCTTCTCTCAAAGCTGCGTCACTATTTGGTACATGCTTGGAACAGGGCCTCCAGGAAAATGCACTGATGCCATCGCTTATCTGTGCGGGTGGTTTTCAGGTCGTTTCGTCATGAACATGGTCTGTAATAACATTAAAGGGTGGTTTTTTTTTTAATTACCCTTATTCCCATAGGACTGGTTTGTGTGTGTGTGCGTGTGTGTGTAATATACTATCATAGTACACACATTATTAAAGTGGGTAAAAAATAAGCTTACAGGCTGAGCTTTAAGATCTCTTTGCTATAATCCCTCTTCTATTCTGACACCAGGGCAGTTTTCTGGATGACAGATGTGGTCTCACACACCCCAGTTAGAAACCTAATGCCACCCTTCACTGCTCACATCATCTTGAACCTCAGCCACCCTTCAGGGCTCATTTCCCGTCACCACTAAAGCTTCCCATCAGTGAGCTGGATCTCGCTCTTCGCATCTCCCTGTCTCAGTTTGTACACAGACATGTTCTTCTAGTGCTTGCAGAGCCCGTCATCTGCTTTACCCAGCTAACTCCTTTGTCCCTCAACACCCAGCCTGCAGGGGTCCTCCTGAGTGTTCTGTCTTGTGCTGCTTCCACTTACTGAGCATGACTCTGTTGCAGCAGCACTTGTCAGACTACTGCTGGGATTCGTTTTCCTGTCTCTCCCTACTCGCCTGGGTCTGGGTGGAGACTGTGGCCTCATGTCTGTATCTGAGACATGGTGACACTTCGTACACTTTTAGCAAATGACATGAGGAATGATCTGTGTTTGAAATCTGATGATGTTTCATTTTGATTCCTAAAGTTCTGGAAAAAAAAGGATAATTTTTAAAGGTTCTCTTTAGCCATTTTTTGAAGTGGTTTTTACCAAGGATCCCCACCTTGGTTTTCTTTTTTCCCCATTTATTGTTTCCCTAGTCCTACCAGCATATTCCCTATAAAGTTGAGTGATTGGAAAATGACTACACTTCTTACTGTTCAAGTGGCTTTTGACTGCCTAATGTAGAAGAAAAAGAGCTATGAAACTGCATGTTAACTTTAAGGCTTCCTCTTTCACAGGATGATGCAAATAAAAATGGTGGCAAGTGGATCATTCGGCTGCGGAAGGGCTTGGCATCCCGTTGCTGGGAGAATCTCATCCTGGCCATGTTGGGGGAGCAGTTCATGGTGGGGGAGGAGATCTGTGGGGCTGTGGTCTCTGTCCGCTTCCAGGTAAGCCGCCTCCGGGCAGGTCTGGGGTCACGTGTTGCCTTTGCTCTCCTCACTGCCTTCCGTGTGCTTTGATGATTCCTTGTGCTCCTCCTGTAGGAGGACATTATTTCAATATGGAATAAGACTGCCAGCGACCAAGCAACCACAGCCCGAATCCGGGATACTCTTCGGCGAGTGCTTAACCTACCTCCCAACACCATTATGGAATACAAAACCCACACCGACAGCATCAAGTACGTGTTGGGGGCGCTGGGGGGTTGTGTCCCTAAGCTTAGCAGAAGTAGGTCCTCAGCTGGGCCCAGAGGAGTATGGTGTACAGGAGACTGACTTAGGGAGAAGGGGCAGAGCAGTCTTCCGCTCTAGTGCTTCTGGCCACTCGTAGCGGTTCTTTGCTGGCAAGGCCCCCTCCCCACCTGCCCTGTAGGGTGCTCTGTGTCAGAGAGAGCCCGTCTACAGAATCCCCGTTGCACCGCCTGGGCTTGCTTTATTTGCACAGGCTGTCTTGTCTTTCATTTGCCATACACTATCTTAAAATGAAAGACAAAGCGCTTTTCCTTTTCTTGCTGTTTTTTAAGGTAATTTCACTGAACTGATCAAGTCTTGCTCTCTGTCTGCCTCTCACCCCACTTTGGCATGTCTTTTTAACCTGTTAGCTTCAGTCTGTTTTCTTCGTCCTGGGATATTGACTTCTTGGGAATGAGGATCCCATTTCCGTGTGTGTAGAGCTGAAGTGCTAAAGGAAGCAAATTAGTGTGTTTTGTGGGCATAGAGAGCAGGGACGTGTGAATGCCGAAGGAGGAACGAGCTCTGCGGTCCACCTGGGTAGGACTCAGGGCATGGAGCTGACCGTGCACGGGTGAGAGTCACTGGTTAGGGCCGCTCCTTCCGGGACTGAATGTCATAAATAAACTCAGGTTATCAAGAAGAAGTTGTGGGGTGTGGCTGGTAGATTTTTCTCCAAACTGAAGGAAAGCTAGCCAGCTGGGGACCAGGCCTTGAGGTCTGATTTTCTCCTTTGACTCCCGTGTCAGGATGTGCCTGTGGCAAGTCTCTGCCACTCTGCCCCTTTTCCCCGTCTGTACAATGGGGGGTACTAGTGCTTCACCGGACAGAGTGGCCGTCAGGCTGATGTAACCTTTGCAGCTCTTCATCCTCAGATGGAGAATGCTCTTACAGGGCCAAGTATGTTACTGCTGTCATCATTATCAGCAGCAGTGATATCATCATCATGTTACTAAAGACTAGGAATGAGCCCAGCACTTGTGTTCAGCAGGCAGGCTTGGGAACCTTTCCCATGCATTCAGACACAATGTGCGTGGGGTTGGCTTAAACTAGCTAAGTGCTAAGTGCCAATTCTTAACTGGGAACACTGCCACAGGAGTTGGTCCGTAACGAGGTGGCTGGGTGTGACTCATCATAGCCACCAGCAGTTACTAGCCAGCCATGGCCCTGGTGGCTTGGCTTAGCAATCCTGTGTGAGCTGTGTTTTTCTCTAGGCAGATTTTTCCTATTCTGTATCTGGGATAGAAGTAGTTTCTGCTTTCCAGCCAGACGCAGTCCAGGCTGGACAGAGTCACACCCTCTTTTTCTATGACTCTGTGTTCAAGGTTCCCAAATGCCCTGTCCCATTCCCCCAAAAGCAAACTTTTCACATGGATAGGAAAGGGAAAGAGATACTTTTCAACTCTCCCCTCTCCACTGTTCCCTCTCTCTGATACCCTGGGACAGTTCTTCCTGACTTGTGTAGAACTGTGTACGAGTTCTTACAGCGTCTAGGAGTGCCTGTGGGCTTTTTGCCTTGGTCTGCTGCTCGCTGCTTTTTCCAGAGGTCTGCCTAGTACACCAGCCCTGCAGCTACAGGGACCGGAAGACCCTCCTTGATACCCAGATGCCACTTGCCCTAGCGTCTCCCTCTCTTTCCTCTCCCAATGTGCCAACCTTTTGCACTTCCACTAGAATGCCAGGCAGGCTGGGCCCCCAAAGGCTCCTTTTTCAAAACCTCTGGAAGCCGCGGTTGAATGTGCCATGACCCTCTCCCTGTCTGGATGGCACCATCATTGAAGCTGGCATCATCGGAGTCTCTTGTTGTGTTGGCGTGCTACCTGGAAGATCCTTCTGTCCTGGACAAGAGGAATTGGAAGAGCATTTTATGTTTTAAGAACAGGCTGACACGCAGCAGCTACAACAACAGCTGAGATCACTTAATAAATGGTGCTAAACTAGCTTGTCTCATGCTCTTGCTCTTTATGGTGCATCAAAGAAGTGGCCTTGCAGACTGACTGTCACCATATTAAGGAATGGCACAGACCTCTCCATGGAGGGCCATCTGGGGAATGCTGCCTCATTTCCATAAATCCATTGTATATGGTCACATGGTATTTTTTTCCAGTTCTGCTGAGTTCTGATGTAAGGAGGTGACATCTAGCTCTCACAACGAGACTCCACTTTCTGGTACTTGAATTTTAGTTCCCATCTAGTCACACTGATGACAAGAACAGGTGATTTCTGATTTAGAATTCAGCTTGAAAAGTCTCCTAAGGTTGGAAAGGGGGATCCTTGGCCTTTGCTTTGCTGACTTTGCCTTTACTTCAAAGGAATCTCTTGCTTGAAGGTAAAGCCCTGCTTTCTTCCCATCTGTATGTGGCTGTACGTATGTAGCTTTCTTGCTTTGTGTTAACGGGGTTTTCTCACTGTGCCAAAGCTGCCCACGCCACAAGCTCTTTGCCAGCTTTCTCCCTCTGCTTTCCCTTTAGGGCCAGATCATCTTCCTCTTTGAGCTAGCCTTGCTTGCCAGGTCTCTAGGTTCTAGAACTTCCCTTCCTCCCAGTCCCCAGGATTTTTGTGCATCAGGATCCGAGGTGTGGAAATGTCTTCCTCCTGGGTGACTCTGCTCCTTAGGCTATCTGGTGTTGGCACCTGCCAGATCTGTGTGCTTCCTGGCTTGGCTTACATGTGTGGCAGCTTGGCCTTTAGGCTCCTAACTGCATGTGGAATTTCAACAGGCCTCATGTTACTTTAGGTTTTCTTAGCACCTACACCAAAACTCAAAGTAAGTGATTATTGTGGACACTAGGTCAGGTTGCCTGATAGCATCTGTGAGGGTGGGTGGCCATGGGTATAATGTGGAGTTTTCCAAATTTGGCTATCCCATTTTGGCAGTGACCCTGCCCTTGTTCCATCCTGACTGACCACCAGTCTGTCTGTGGCCTGGGAGCCCCACAGAACACACACTGGGACTAGCGCCCTGGGCTCAGCAATCTGGAGGCATGTGTGTGTCAAAGCTTCTGTGTTTATTGCATATCCAGAATTGGTTGACGTACCTAGAAAACAGGAGATCTGTTGGTAATGGAAATGCCTGTTCTCTGTTCTCAGCATTTGTCAGAGAATTCCCTTCTGTGGCCCCTTCCCTCTTGCTTCCACTATTACATGTTATCAACCTAAGTTCAGTTCATATAAAGTCTGGGGGTTGAGCTCGATGTCACCTTTCAGAGTAGGTGTTAATTAGAAAGCACTAAACTGACTGTGAGACCCCTCTGGTCATTGCCGCATAAGAACAGAGGTTAGAAGTCTTCGGCTTTGTTCTAGTCCTTGTGGCTCTCCCACTGGTGTGGCTTTGTTGGAGCGAAGGAACAGCATTTGCTGGGACTTGAGAATTCAAGGAAAGGAAGAAAGAGCCAATAGCTAGGCATCCCCAAGTACTCTGGAGATGAGGGCTGCTGAAAGTGGTGAGGGACCTTTTTTTAGGAGTGGCTTAGAATTCACAGTCGAGTCAAGCAACCTCTGCCTTGCTATGTTTCAGTCCAAATTCCAGTGGCCTTTTTCAGCTGTTTGGTTTCTCCAGCTTTCCCCTAATCACACTGCTTCTAGCCTTTTTCTTGCACTCCTTGGTGAGCTGAGCAAACACTGCTGCGTTCTGTGCCGGGTGAGCTGCTCTGCTGCAGATCAGATGCCTGCCTGCTGCCTCCTACCCTTGGGTATTGCCAGCAGTTCACCCCTTAAGGGTGAGCAGGTCCCATTGAGAGGTGGGAGACTGGTTAAACTGAGCTCAGGGGCATGGCTCCTCTTAATGAGGCCAGTCAGTGTTGGGGTTTCATAGGTTTGGGTCTTTGCAAGCATCAAGTGACTCACTGTAGCCTCCATTTTGAGGAGAAATCTCCTAACAGCCAGGCCTGCAACCCAGAATCATGGGACCACCAGGACAAATCTCTGGGCACAGAGCCATAAAAAGCAACATCGCCTTTTGTGAGGGAATTCCTCTTTGGAATAGTCCCACTGAGTCCTTGTGTGCTTCTGTCCTGGAATGGAAAAGGGGAGACAGGGCCAGCTTCATTCTGTGGGCCACAGTGCTGGGGAGACTGACCAGACACCTTTGCAGAGAAAGTTCAGGGTAGGTGACTTCTGTTTTGTCCCTTTATTCTAGAGGGGAAATGGGTCAAATTTTGGGGACTTCCCTTGATCATATCTACATTTCATTGTATTTCAAGGTTGAATTTTATAGGCAAGGATGAAGCAACCCTTCTGTCATAGCTAAATCGTAGCCCAGCAGGCCTGGGTGATGCCAGCGTAATTACCAGCCTGGTTTTTTGTTTATGAAATGTCCCTCCTACTGATACTCGGGACCGAAGCCAGACTAGCCGGAGGCTGAGCTCGCCCGTGAGTGGTGCGGGCCGGCTGACTGCAGGCTGGGGGGTGGGGGCAGGGGCCAGCACAGAGTGGCCCAGAGCTGAGATCTCTGCTCCTAGGATTTGCTTTCTGGTAAGTGAGCTGGGACGACAGTGGTCTTTCAAGGACTCTGTTACTCAGTCATGAACCTGTTCACAATTCCCTGTAGGATATGTTGATCTCAGGATTTTTTTTCTTTTAGAAACTCCATTCATAATGATACTTTTCACATTTAACTTGTTCTTTACCTTTAAAAGAAGCAAGTTTTAATATTATCTAATATAACTAGAATATTCACACCTAGCTTTGGGTGTGCATTGGCCTATAAGAACAGGAGGAAGGGTACCAGTGACTGTGGCCACTGTTTATTCCCACTGAATCCATGTGAGGATTTTTCCTTACCCAGAGTCTTCATGTTGAGGTTTCTTATGAAGGAGACACTTCTGAAGAAAATGTGAGAGTCGTTTAGTGCTAGAATGGATTGGAGGGGAGCTCTGGGATCCCTGTGTCCGCAGGTTCTTGCTAGAGAACTGCTCTGTTTGCACTAGTGTAGGCCTTTGTGGAAACAAGGATAAATGAGGTGAAGCTTCAGCACAGCCATGTAATTTCTTGTTGATCCCCTAACTTGCTTAAAATAGAATTTAAATCTCCCTGTTAGAACGAAGAGTGGTTTCCTGGGCCGTTGGCCAAGCACTGAGTTTTTGCTTTGCCCTTATCTGCATTTGAAGTGAAGAGTGCTGGCCTTCTGATGTCACTCCTGGACTCACAAAGTTCATCGCGTTACTCTCCCTCCAGAAACGGCTGTGGAACAGTGGTCTTGCTGTGGAAACTGAGTTTATGAATTGATAAAGACTGGCACGCTGGTGTGGCTGGCTTACGTTTTTCTTCAATTCACTTAGCATATACGTGTAGCTTTGGTCATAACTCTGAAGAAACCATTAACTGCAAATCAACCTCTTATTCTAAGAGGTAGATCATTAACTTGTAAGTGCTGCAGTTCAAAAGGGAAATGCTGATGAAACTAGTATAAATATTGCCTGCAAGAATTAATTTGTTGTGCCAGGTCTCTCTCAATCCCTCCCTGTTTAGAAAAAGGAAAGCTATCTGTAGAAGGCCTGGAATGAAGTATATGTTAGTGGCCATAATATTAAACCTATAGTGACTAATGAACAATGTTGTCACCCTGGGTATTGTCACCCCGTTCATGGAATGGAATAACTGATAACAAGGAATTTTAGGTTTAGAAGCACGAAATTACCCATTTTTACATATGTGTATCTATGTGTGTGTGTATGTAATTCCAGGAACTTAGTAGACACTCTGTCCCTAATGGGGCTAAGAAGTGGCCAGGGCAGAAAGGTAGGGCACCAGCTCCTCTGAGAAAACTTGAGGCGGGTTAGGGCTTCCTGATGAGTGAGGGATCTGGTTTTCTCCTGTTTGGTGGCCAGCAATCACCAAAGGCTTGTTCTTCGTAGAGCACCAGCCTACAAGACTGTACCCCTCGGTCACATTTCTTATCCCTTCGTAACCCCAAATCCTACATTGAGTTAGTCAGCATGAAAGTTGTAATGAGCATTAATCCCTGGAAATTTTCGGCTGTTGTGACCTACACAGCTTAAATTTTAAGGTAATAGTTACATGGATATTTTCAGAAACAGGCACCTGATACAGTTTTGAGGTGAGTTTAGAAGGGTCAAAAGGTTGGAAATGTGGAAGCAGAGAAAGTGGTATAATGTCCTCACTGCATCTTTAGACTTCATCATGCTGTTGGGTACCTACATTGACCCTCAGTGAGTCTGGACAAAAAAAGACAGTTTCTACCACCTGCCCTCACACCCCCAAGCAGAGTGCTGCCGCCTCTCCTGTGGAGGTGCCTCCAGTGACGGGTGGGCCTGGCTCTGACCTCACTATGAAGGAGGAGATAGGAGTGTTGCAAATCCTCGAGGGAATAGTGAGGGCCAGACTTGGCCAGCAGAGCAAGCCAGAAGTGTCCAGTGCCCCTATGAGGTGCTGGCCACCGCTGCTGATCTGAGGGGGGAAGCCTGGGTGGGGAACCGCACTGCTGGGCTGCCAGGTATCTGTGGGTCTCACTCGACCCCGAGGGTATCTGAAATGGGATGTGGGATTATCATGTCTGCTCTCTCTTTGTTAAAAAGCTTTTGATCTGAATGTGCTATTGTGTTTTTTTGTCTCTGGTTTGTTTGCCAGGGCCTGGGAGGAGTTTCATGGCCTGGTGAACAGCAGCGGCCGCTGATCGGACGCTCCCCCTCTGTCTCTCACACTCAGGGTAGGGCCTTGTCTATCTTCTCTGTAACCCTGTGACATACCTCTCAGCCATAGGACCCCTCTTCCCAAGGGGATGCCCTCTCCCGACAGGAACCTGCTCCAGCCTCTCCTCTTTGATGATCACAGCCTCAGAAAAACACTGAGTCCAAAACCACTGGATTGTTGTCCTATGTGGGTCACATGTCTCCTGGGGAACCCTGGACAGGTGGCTTTCATTATTACCTCTTGTTTTCCCATTTGGAAAATGAGGTTCAGCAGATTAACATGTCTCAGGCCTCTTGATAACATTTCATGGTTATAAATGTGCCACAGATCTTTTGTCTTTTGCCCAGATGTGGCCATTTTTAAATTATCCTGCAACTAACAGGGCAGTTCCTCGGGCCCCAATATGGGTTAGGTGAGAGGTATGTCTTGTTTGCTGGTGGTGGTTGTCAGTTGTGAGGAAGGAGTGATAGAACTTGAGGTAGTGCGTTGAGGTAGATGTCAGGTTATACTGTAACTAAGCCGTCACGTTTACTGGCAGACAGAGGCCCTGGGATCAACTGAACTGAAGGCTGGGTCAGCTGAAACATTCACTTTAAGAACATTTGTATTTCCACTAAGAGAGCGCCAAGTCCATGTCTGTCTTGTTATCAAAGGGAATTGGGTAAAGTTATTCTGGATAAGAGGGATGGATGAAAGTACAGAATCAGCGTGGCCTGGCCTGAGAGCATAGTCCTGGACATTTACCCACCATCCACCACCGTCCCTGCGAAATAGAGAATTTCTAAAATTGAAACAGAGCATGTCAACAATGGTAGTAGGGTGCTTCAGAAGTCCCCCTTCCCACGCTTCTCAGGAAAAGGAGACTTGCATCCCTTAGATGGGCTAGAAGAGAAAGGAGGACGCTGAGGGACAGGAGCAGGTGGCCAGGGTCTGAGTTCCCTGGCGGGCCGATGTGATGTATGACGGCCCCAGGGCTCTGGCACACACCGTGATGCTGCTCAGGCCTTCTCTCTTAATAGTTTAATTCCCTTACTATTAAATGAATTCTTAGATGATAATAGTAGATTTTTTAAAATTATAGTTTACAAGGTTTCTCTGTAAAACACAGTCAACATAGATTTCCAGATGGCTGCTAGCATACCCAAGGAAGGGTGAAAAAGCTGCATCGGCTCTGATATTGGGCACATTCACTTGCAAGCTGAAAAATAGCAGATACTCAAAATAAGTTACATTTCCAGAGGCCTGGTGCTATAATGAGATTGTTTAAATAACATTATCAGGTTTAATTATTTCTAAAAGTCCTTTTTTCTGTTTTGTTTTAAATGCTTACAATTGTGTATGATGAAAAAGGCTTTTGTCATAGTTTTATAGGCAGTGTTTACTTCTTAAAGTGCATATAATTGTGGTACCTTTAAAAATCAGTAGTATTTTAGGTTCCATAAAAAAGGGGCTTTAAAAATGCAGTAATGAAATTGAGATAGTTAGAATGGAAAAAAATTTTAAATTATTCTTTCTCCCCTTAGCTAACACTGAATCCCCCAGAATAAATATCTTTGAATTGCTTTGAAAGTCATGTATTTGCATAATTGTTATTTTTGTAGTCTTTGTTGTTTGGGTTGCCCCCAACGCACCCCACCCCCATGCAGCAGACAAAGGAAGCACTTGACGGTTTAGGTGTTACTCTTGAACCACAACCTTGAAAGGCTGAGTATTAGGGTCTAAGCAAAGAAAACAACTCACTACATTGTCTTAACAGACTTACAAAGGACTTCACATTTCAAGTCTGTTGATACAACCTTCAAAGAGGTGTTCTCATTAGTGCACCTCGCCTGTGTGTGGGGGTGCTGCCACTTCAGAGGCCCCGACACTCCAGCCTTCTCTTCTGGCTTTGCTTTTCCCCCTTCCAGCTAGATCATGGAAATGAAGAAATAAAAACTGCTATTTAGGTCATTCTTCTTGAACCACAAATACTTTTTCTCTGTTAATGTATTATGCCATTACATGTAGCTGCTACTGTTTTAGGGCTATTTCATTTGACCTCCATTACAAATAAGTACATCCCTTTTAACCGTGGCTTCAGTACATTCCCATTTAGCTGCTGGGGGGAGATTCTGTTACATGTATGTCTGGGTCGGCAGGCACAGCAGTGATCTGTCTTGTTGGGGAATGAACTTGGCATGATCACTCAGTGGGAAATTAGAGACTGAAATTTGCCCCACTGAACCTGGAGAGGGTTTGCATTTTATTTGATATGCAGGGAGGGAGGGAGAGAAGAAGCCAGAGCTTGCCCGCGGTGAACAGCTGAGAGCCAGAATGTTCCCCTGAAGACTGTGTGTACTTGAGCCTGTAGGCCTGTGAGTGCCCCCTGAGGGCTCCCTGCAGAGCAGAGACTCAGGCAGGGCTCCTCCTCAGCAGCTCCCAGCTGCCCCTTGAGGACCCAGAATCACTTGGTGCCCCTGCTGGGCACCAGCACAGTGACAGGTTGCTGCAGGAGGGGCATTCTGAGGAATCGACTGCCTTCATCCTCTGTGGCCCACCCTCAGGAGCTAAGCTCTACCTTAGCTCATTCTTTTCAGAGTTTGAACTTATACTTTCTCTAGAAGTACAGAAAGGCAATCATTTTGAGACACAGAAGGTCAGAAAGCATTTCAGAGTATTTGGGCACGTTTTCCCTAAGATGCCTGGGAGTGTGATGCTGGAAACCAATTCGGAGGGGGTGCTGGTATTTCTGTGGCTCTGCTATCAGGACAGAGGCTCACCCAGTAGAGAAAGACTTCTGACTTACGCTAGCACTGTGGCCTGTCAGCTCCCCTGTCCAGTGTCCTAGAGGGTAAAATTCCCCTGGGATAAGTTAAGGTATATTGTCAGTACCTTGTCTGAAAAGCTCCTTTAAATCCATCCACTAGGCTAAGTCCCAGTTGCTTATTTTACATAAATTCACAGATGAAGATGTAACAGTTTCCTTCAAAAATATCTTTGTATCACTGCAAAACCAAAAGAAAACCATAAAAGCCTCCCCAATAGCCCCTGCACCCGCACAGCACTGCTAGGGGGCTAGGGGGGCTGGTGCCTGGAGCTCACTGGAGTTTTTCAATTGTGGTTTGCTTTTGAAAAAGAAGTTGCCTGTGGCCTCTGCCACTTCCTGCTTACATTCTCCCTTTCCCTGTTTCTAATCTCTTGTGTGCTGGGCACATGGGCCTGGGCTGAGGGACGACGTAACTGAGAATCAGTTCCCGGCTGGTTTGAGGTGAACACATTGCTCACACTAAGCATGGCACCAAGCTATTCTCAACCCACTTGATGTCAAGAGGCTGACTAAAGCTGCCACCAGCCTTCTTCAGCCTGTCATTGTCAGGAGCCTGTCACCTACACTCATTGCTCTTTGTTTTCATTTACATCAAACTCTGGGGAAACTCAGGTGGATTCTCCAGCTCATGTGCTCTTCTCCTCCCCTTTCCATTTTACAAGGAGACCTTAGAATAATGGTGACTTCTTAGGTTTTCTGGCAATGAAGAGATCTCTGACAATAGAAATAATCAGAATAAATATTCAATATCTGAATGGAAATGTGTTACAGAGTTCGGTTTACCTTCCACAGAAAGAATTTGTTTCTGGCCCAACCCCAGCACAGAGCAGAAATGCTTCCAAAAGACAGGATGACCTGCTGTGGTGATGCCTTAACCTGAAATGCTCTTTGCATCACCAAATGGCTGAAAGGGCTGGTGCCGTCTCTCTGCCCCGAGAGAGGTAATTCTTCCATAGCCAGAAAACTCTAATTCCCGCAGCCCCGCCTTTTGTTCACTTGTCTTATTTTTCCCTGCTGCTGACTTGTGATCCAGTTGCTCTATCGGGATAGAGGTGGCATCAAAAGGGAAGAAGCTGAACAAAGCAAACCATTCCTTCCTGATCGCTTCTCTGTTATCAGAGGCGTCCTCTGCCACACAGACTCAGCTCCACAGCACATCGGCCCTAAGGGGCCTCAGGAACAGCACACACACATCAGTCACACCTGATTTCCTCCGTCTCATGATCGGATGTGTTCCTTGTCCTTCGCTAGCTACTTCTGGTACTCCAGTGGGGTCTCTCCTTTTGAAAGACCTTTTAAAAAGATGATCACCCCATTAAGTTCCCTTTGTGTTCAGTCTTAATGCCTTAGATGGAAGTCGTTGAAGTACCCAGTAGCCATTGATACAGGGGCTACATGGTCATGCATGTCGGTTATAAAAATACCAGCGGGCTTTCAGGATAGCATCAGTTTCTTCCCAGACAGAGTTCACCCACACCAGCTCCAGCCTCCCCTCTCACAGTGCTGGTCCACGCCATCGTCTTTGTATAGTGAGCAAGGGCTGTTCGTGACCGCCTGACTGCCCGCCGCCAGGACGGAGGAGCATCTGTTAGCCAGTAGCAGGAGGAAGCTGCTGTTGGGATGGGCTGACCAGATTCTTTCTTCAGTGTGTATTTACTCTGGACCAATTGCTATATGCCCAATCAATTGTAGCAGTTTTAAATAGGCCAGTTAAGGCCAAAGCTTCTAGAATGTCTCATTAAGGTTGAAAGGAAATAATGACTAAAAAATAAGGTCCATGAGTACTTGTTTCAAAACTTCAGACAAATTTAAGTGTGAAATTCTGTGCCACAGCAATAGATAAGGTGACCTTTAAAGCACCTTTCAGCCCTGAGATTTTTGGGATTCAAATGGTGATGTGAAGTACTAAAATGTTGTTGAGTTTCTAGTATGGAACTAGTGACAGGATTACTAGTGGGTGGCTGAGCCTGCCTGCATTCAGTAGAAGGCAACTAAGAGCGCACCTTACTATATCTCTCTCACACACATGTGCACACACACACACACACACACACACACACACACGCTCTCTTTCAAGAATTATAGCTAAGTT